CACTGCTTTACGTGACAGGCAGTGTTCACATGCACTTAGTCTGGACTCTGCCTTCTGAGAAAGCAAAGCGGTAGCACAAGTGAGAGATGAGTTGCTGGAAGGGTTGCCTTATTTGCTTTGAATTATCATCTTTGAATAAATAATTCACAAACTCATGAACCTGACAAAAATTAGTTGTTACTTACGTTCACTTCAAAACTGATCAGGATATACCAGTAACTCAGGACATCACCATTCATAGTGGTTGACTTACCAGTCAGTATGCCTAGGCTGAGAAATAATAGCTTGCAGCTGGTGTGTTGGCTCACCTGATTGTCATTTATTCAGTGTATACTCATTAAGCTCCAGGTGTATGCCAGGCTGCCTGCTGGCACCTGGGTATGTAGTTGGAAACAACCAGACATGGTGCCCTGGAATCTAAGATCATGGTTGGCTTCCCGCCTTCACAGTTGCCCAGCTAGGAAAATGTGATCATGAACCAATTACACGGGGCTCTGACCACAGGGCTCTCCTCCTGAGGGCTGCTCTTGTTATGGGTTTGAGTCATCCACAATCAAATCCTGAGCAAAAAAGTAAGGACACAGTGCCAAAAGGATAGGAGCATGCCTGCACCGTGTGGGCGTCTGGGCAGAGGGCCTCATGCTCCTGTGTTCGCAGCCATCAGGACCTCTTCTGGGGAAAGGCGACTGTGTGCACAGAAGTAATTTAAGATCTTCCCACGGAGACTTCAGAATTCTAGAGCTCTGTGATTATGGTGTGATATATCCTTATACTGTGCCCAGTAACTTTGGAGACCTTAATTCTACTCAAGATACCATTAGGACATGGGATTTAATTCAAAATTTGCAACAGAATAGCTAATTTACTGGGCAAAGTCTATATTCTTCAGATAGCTAAAAATAATAGATACTTTATTTCATTCTGTTAATGATGGTATTAAGTTTAAAGACTTTTAAAGCTTTTTTAACTCCTAATGTGAACATTGTATCACAACCCAGCAAAGAGCATAGATGTGCACTGTTACATTCCATTGATTTAGGCCAAAGGAGTTTCTATGGTGAAAAGGAAAAAAAAGATCCCCCCCCCCCCCAAGAGAGTCAAATAGCATGAAGAATTGAACATTCTTGTTAAAAACAAAGAAAAAGAGAAGGGGTCATAATTGTCCCTCCACATTTGCACACTTCTGAAACAAAATTTTTCTCAAGGTAAGATTTTTTTAAATTCCACCTAATTTTTCTTATAGTTTATGACCGCTTCTAGCATTTTTCTAAGTCACAAATATTCTAGCGAAATGAAAGAACGTCACTTCCGTCATTTGGTGAGTAGGAACTCGGGAGAAGAACTGCTTCTTCTCGTCAATGGCAGTGTCACACAGTCCTTTGCATTTCATCTTTGGCACCAGTGAGCTCCCACCTTGGGCAGCCCTGACCCCTCCTGGTTCTAGAAGGAACCATTTAGGCCATGGCCACATTGTTAATGCTTAACTTGCCGGGTAAGCAGGAAATCTCTTTCGAACCAGCTTCCCAAAGTGCAGAGAACCAAATCCCTTGCAGCTGAGCCCACAGAGAGAAGCTGGGGAATGACGTATTTAATTTCCTTTTCTTTTTGAACCGTTTTTACAACTAGTTCCTTTCCCAGGCAAGGCTAAGTGCCCTGGGAATCATCCTTGTAATGCCAGCTGGGTGCCACAAAGCATTATTAATTGACTGTGGTTCCTTCTCATGCGTGCAGAGGCCGCTGGATCTGCTGAACAGTAGGGAGGTCTGTGTGCTTCAGGGCTGCCCTGCGTCCCTGCCTGCCCTGCACGCTCTTTTCCGAGAGCACACCTGCTTCTCTGTAGCCCTGCAAGTCTGGGTGGACAGAGGGACCAGGTCAGAATACTTCGTAGGTGTCACTTAGGCTTCATACCACCCCTATATAGGCCAGCTCCCACCAAATTCTAACTTATAGACCCAAAAATGTCTGAGGTTGATTTATTGACTGAGGTCCTACTAGTTGTGATGTATATAAGTGTTCTGTTTATGAATGTTAAGGCTTGCACTTGATTTCATTTTACTAAAATAAGTGGGCTTAGGTGTTTGTTTGTTTTTTTTTCCTTTTCTTTTCTTGGCCTCCATCAGTTTATCCAAGGCACAGCGGAGCTCCTTGGTGACACTTCGCCACATCTCAGGCATCCGGGGTGTCTCCCGACCTCCCCACGGGCCACACTCATAGTTCCTTGTCTTGTGCAGTTGTGAATCTATGTCAAAGAAAAGACTGTCCTTAAAATATGAGCTGTGGATCAGCTTGCTATTTCTTTAGGCTGTTGATTTCTGATGTTTCCATGTAATACTTGTGTGCCTACTGCGTGCCAAGCACTGTGCAGAGCCCTGGAAGTACCTCAGGTCCCAGACAGACGAGGCCCCTGCCTTTCTGGAGCTTATGTTCATTCTCCTGACCCAGTGCCTGGGTTACCTGTGCCCACCTCCCTCAAAGGCCAGCTTCAGTGCCATCTCCTTCAGGGATCCTTCCATGCTTCCTCCTCCTGTTGCCCCTTCTTCTCAACCCTAACAGGGTTTGTACCTCGCCTATAGTACAGGATAATTTTGTGATCCAAAAACCACTGTGTGGTGATTCACATGGGTGAAGAAACTAGGTGTTCCTTATCTCTCTGTCCAGTGGGAAATCCGGGGCTTGGCTCCAAGTCACAGCACAGTAAGTGACTCTGAAGTCTGCCATCTGCTGTGGACAGTGCAGGGTTCTGCTAGCAGTTGGTGCTTTAAAAAAAATTTGTTGAATAAATTGTCATCTGACATAGATTATCCAAACCCTCCCTTTCTCTTTGTCCTTCCTGAGGCTAGGGACTGTGTCTACCTCATTTGCATTTTATCTTAAGTCAGCACCTGAGAAACTCCCTGGGAATGGATTTCATTCTTTTCTACCTCTTCCAGACCATACCAAAGGAAAGTGCGACTGATATGGAAATATTTTAGTAACTCTTGTTTAAAAATAGAGTAAATATATGAGAAAATATATATACATATATGTACACAAACATAATACAGACACACATACAGAGGGGAAAGGGTTATCATTCTTTAACAGATATCAGTGGGTTCTGAACCAGAGTTTGCCTGTGAGAAAAATCTAGATTTTGAAGAATGAGTGATCCTGCCTAAAACACATCATCTGTTTCTGGAAGATTATACCCTTCACTAATCTGTGTCTTGGGCGAAGGCAGGAACGGGACAGCAGTGAGACAGGCGTGTGCTGTCTAGTCCCAGCGTCAGGAGCACTTGGTGGGAAACCGCTGCCGACTCTGCTCCTGTAATCACAGGGTTCACCTGCAGCAGGGAAGGGCGTCCAGAGCCAGAGAGGCAGTGCAGCCCCTACAGGTATCTGCACAAAGGAGTAGCTTTCAAGATTAGTTTCAGTACATCCATGAGACTTCAGAAGACTTGAGAAGATAGCAAGCACAGGGAATGATCGCCATCGTCACCGTTCTGCTTTCTAAAGTGGGGCACTTCATTCCATGCCACCGTGGTGGAGCCCCTGAGCCAAGAGCTCGGGAATGGGCCTGGCAGCCTGCACGCTCGCTGGTTTGCGAGTTGTACAGTAGACGTCACGCAAGTCCATGGATTGGCTGAGTGTCTCCTGTCACCCAAATTTCAGATTTTTTAATACAAAAATTAGCTGAGTATGGTGGCAGGCGTCTGTAGTTCCAGCTAGTTGGGAGGCTGAGACAGGAGAATCTCTTGAACCCGGGAGGCGGAGAGTGCAGTGAACTGAGATTGTGCCACAGCACTCCAGCCTGGGTGACAGAGCGAGACTCCGTTTGAAAAACAAAACAAAACAAAACAAAAAAATTTGTTGTGTTTTTTTTTTTTCTTTTTTCTCTTGAAATGTCATCCACTCCAGATTGACTATATTTAATTTTTGAGATCCAGTGAGAAGCTGACTTGGATGTATTTTCTATAGAGCATTTTGGTTATTTGAGGAAGGCTTCTCCTCCTCACACATTTCTTTCTTTTTTTTTTTTTTGAGACAGTCTCGCTCTGTCGCCCAGGCTGGAGTGCAGTGGCGCGATCTCCGCTCACTGCAAGCTCCACCTCCTGCGTTCACGCCATTCTCCTGCCTCAGCCTCCCCAGCAGCTGGGACTACAGGCGCCCGCCACCATGCCCGGCTAATTTTTTGTATTTTTAGTAGAGACGGGGTTTCACCGTAGATGGTCTCGATCTCCTGACCTTGTGATCCGCCCGCCTAGGCCTCCCAAAGTGCTGGGATTACAGGTATGAGCCACCGCGCCTGGCCCCTCACATTTTTTTTTTAAATGTGGTGGCGTTTTTGTTTATTGTTGCTGATATTTACTTCGGCACATGAGGTAAGTTTGTCAAGGCTGGGAGCAGAGTCCCCATGTACCGCCGTGGCCTGGCCGTGAACAGGAAAGAGGCTGCTGCTGGTCAGAGTCTCACCAAGACAAATCACTGTCATTTTATCCATAACAATTACAGAATTCTGCTTTTGTTCACTGGTAGTGAATCAAACTAATGCACTTCTTCAACATGATTAGCTTACAGTAAGCATGTCAGTTGGCATAGCTAAAACTTCTCAAAATTTCCTTTCAATTCATTCTTCTTTCTTGACTTTTGTCAAGAAAACGGGTGAAATGATTTTAAAATTCTGTCCTCCAGTGTCCGCAGTACCAGTGTCCACAGTATTTTATGTGATGAATGACATCGTAAATCTGGCTGGTAACGATGCTGGTCTTCAGGATTGGTGACATGGGTGATTTTGGAGGGGACAGTGCATCTTGAGAATGATCATCTCTAGCAGAACTCAGGTTTGCTACACAGTTGAGGAGAGAGTGGGTGTAAAGCATCAACCCCTCTCATCTCACGCCCGGTAGGCAAAGCCTGCAGGTGAGGCGTCCCAGCCCACTGGCTTCCCTGCAGCCTGCGGGCTAATGGCCTGGTCTCCCCACTGGAGGGTCAATGACACTCCCTCTCCTTCTCCCTGGCAGACTCGCTCTCCGTCTCCAGCAATGACGCCAGTCCACCCGCATCTGTGGCTTCCCTCCAGCCCCACATGATCGGGGCCCAGAGCTCGCCGGGCCCCAAGCGGCCGGGCAACACCCTGCGCAAGTGGCTCACCAGCCCCGTGCGGCGGCTCAGCAGCGGCAAGGCCGACGGGCACGTGAAGAAGCTGGCGCACAAGCACAAGAAGAGCCGCGAGGTCCGCAAGAGCGCCGACGCCGGCTCGCAGAAGGACTCGGACGACAGTGCGGCCACCCCGCAGGACGAGACGGTCGAGGAGGTGAGGCTCTGCCCACTGGATGGGGCCCGCGTGGCGGGGCCCACTGGGCTTTTGCTGCAGGAATAGTTGCTTATCTTACGAATAAACTGGTTTGGTCCTGTTTTCTGCACTTACTCAGAAATTACCATTCAAGTCTCTGCTTAACCAACTGAGATTTAGTGGGGACACCTTGAAAGACAATTGAACTGGCTGTTCCTCAGTAAACACAGTCAGGATCACGTGTGGCTTCTGATAGAAAAAAAAAAAAAGACCACCATGCGCCCCAAGCCCAGTCCGCCCCCAGGCCTGGGCCTGGAGGGAGCCCAGACTGTGGCTTCTGGACCCTCTCCTCCTCCCCACTCCACCGTGAGGCAAAGCCAGAGGCTCTGTGTAGTCTGCAGATTTGGGCAGTATCTGAGCTGACCACTGTGGCAGCATTTTGCAGAGAAAACTCAGATTGAAAACTTGGAAGGACTTGTGGAGTTTTTTGCATTTTCTAATTGTTTTTCTCCAATATTTATTATACTTACAGCTTGTCTTGAGTAGAAAATAACCAGTTAATTTACTTTGTTGACCCAGTAATAAACATTGGGTTATTCCCATGTCACCAAAGATAAGTGCATATTGGTCAGCCAGGAATTTTTTTATGTCCTATTGATGGGGGGGGGGGCTTTAAATTATATTGCAAGAAAGAAATTATATTAAATTATATTGCAAGAAGAATAAATTATGATGCTGGAGATGGCCTTCAGCACTGGTGGTGTCAGTGAGGGGCCCTCAGAGTGTTTAACTTGGATTGACCCCGACTCAAGTCCCACACAGGTTCGAAAAAGAAAAGGCAGAGAATGGGGATGAGATTTGTGTTATTTGATTTATTTGGCAGATAGCTGTTTTCTGCTGTTTTTTTTTTTTTTTCCTGGGCATATTTTTGCCATGAGATTTTATTGCAGTGTGGGAGTGGGGATGTACTATGTATCTGCTTAATAAACCTCTGTCCTCTTAGGAAAACTAAAACTGAAATTTGTTTCTAAAAGTGAGAATAGAGGAAAAGGATACTTAAATCCAGTGCTTAAAATGCATCTTGGATTATATTTTTTATGCCCTTCTTATTTCAGTGAATTTTTCTGTAGCAAGATACCCAAAGTAAAATCAGCTAGACCAAAGGAGCTAAACAACATGAGGGCTGTAGCTCAGATTTTTGAACCTTTTTGAAAACTGGCTTCTCAAAGATGAGATGTGTTCAGAGCCTAACAGGTCACATGGGCAGTCCCTTTGTACGACACTTTCAGTGGCCCTTCTGTCATCTAAGTTGACAAGCAAGGCATTTGGGTTGCAGGAAGAGAGGAAAAGTTACCCTCAAGGTCATTTGTTCCTGATTTCTGCCATCCCAGTCCCTGTCCCCACCTTGCTTCTCCAAGTAACCCTTGGTCCATGTTTGTGAATTGGCCTGGAATATAATGAGCAAATCTTGATTGGATTTCAGAGAGGCCGGAACGAGGGCCTGAGCAGCGGTACTCTCTCCAAATCCTCCTCCTCGGGGATGCAGAGCTGTGGAGAAGAGGAAGGCGAAGAGGGGGCCGATGCCGTGCCCCTGCCACCACCCATGGCCATCCAGCAGCACAGCCTCCTCCAGCCGGACTCACAGGATGACAAGGTAAAGGGGGACGAGGGCTGGGGGATCCATCCCTGCCGTGCCGGGGCAGGGCACACTCAGTGGCTGCTCCACCCCAGCCTCATTTCAGGCGACAGGAGGCCCCAAGGTGTGGGAAAGGGCAATGCAGTGCTCTTTCAGGCAGTGTCAACCTGGTTGTACCCCAAAAATATGAGTAACAAAGCCATTTGGAAGAGCAGTAGGCCGGGGGGTGCAGTTTTTCCTACACGTGTGACTCAGTGCATTTTTAATGATGCTTCAGTAATTGCTGCTTTTAAAGTTTCCTAATGTATTGACTAGAATCCCTGAGAGAACAATCAGAGATATCCCATGCAGGTCTGCCCGAAGGCATCACTAAATGAGGAGTTGGCCGTCTCCCCTCTGTGAGGTTTTTGCATGCAGGTTTCTGGTTTAAGATGAGGTTGCATCACTGTCCAGTTGCTTTTTCCAACATGCCAGACATTAGTTTGTAGGATCCCTATACTAGAGTGCAGGCATAGTTGTCAAAGTGTGGGAATCAGTTGAAACCTCTTTGGCTCTACGCGGTGGCTTTAAGCCACGAAAGTCATTTGTTGTCTTGAGTTCTCACATAATCTAAAATTATTTTGTCAACCCAGTTGTAGAGCCCTAAAAAATGAAATAGCAGAAAGGAAACCTGCTCAATGTGGCTTGCACATCCTCTAGCATTCTGGCCCCATTGTGCCCCTCAAAATTGTCAGGTGTTGAAAACCATGCTATGAAGTCATTACTGGTGATGCTTTTTTTTGGCAGTAACTGAGTTTTCTGAATAAAACAGATAACATTATCAACATTTTTTCCGCATGCTTCCCTTTTTCCTTCCCTGACTCCCTTGTCAGTACTTGCACAGTCACTTGCTGGATTAATCACCCTCTATTTTACGACCTGGGATTGGCCTCAGCCAGTGCTTGGCAGCTGTGAGGCCAAGTCAAATCATGCATTCCTCTTAACCCAGGGCAGACCTGTCCACCGCCCCTTGTTGGTGGAAAGCTACTCCCTCCTCCCTTTTTAACACGAGGCTTGCACACTGTAAGGGTGCCGTGGGGCCTGCAACAATGGCTGTGAGCTGCAGGACTGAGCACAGGTTGGAGTCCTGGAGTTTTGTGTGCATCTGAGGTTCAGGCTCCCGCCGTGTGTAGGGGAGAAGGAACAGGGAGCCTGAGGTGAGAGGACCACGGCCCCCCACCCCACCCAGTGCACGGGATACCTGGCTAGGACATGGGACTGTGTGGTTTCTGTGACATTTCCTAAGCTATTTTGTAATATGCTCACATGCCTTTTTGAAAAGCAGAAAACTGGCATTTCTTAAATATGGGTGGTTATCCAAACATTGAGGGGCTGGACCTTGTCGACTTATTCACCCAATAAGGGAGCATTTTTCTCCATTTAAAGAGTGACCTGCACTGTATTCTTCCATTTGCTAGAATCATTTATTGGTTACTATGTTACCTCGTTGAGTATTATCAGTAGCAGTTCTTCATTTACAAAAATCTGTAGTGATTTTCCCACACAGTATATAATCTTGTGACTAATTTTTTGTTTTGTTCTGTTTTCTCTTTGTGTAAACTTTCACTGCAGCATTATGTTGATTTGTGTTCCATGTCTGTTTTGGCTCAATTTCCTTACCTTTCCGTCTGAATTTTTTTCTTTCTTTTCTTCACCCCGTATTCCAAATGTCATTAGACCAAACCAACATTTGTTTTGCAAAGTGCATATTTTGACCCACACGTGTAAAAGCCTTGTTGTGAGTGTATGAGCCTGTATCTGTCTGCTGTGAGACACGCATGGCCAGGACAGCCCGCTGTGGGTCGCATGCCTCGCCGCTGTCCTTAATATGAAGCAAGGTTCATATTACGCCCCTTCTAGTTCCCAGTTAATTAACGGCTCAAGTAATCTGCAAACACATCGTGTTTGCTAATTACTGAAACTCGAACTTAGTAGCCCCTCCCCCAGATTTCCTGTCAACCCCTTTATGCCCTCGATTCTAGCCATAAGTGGCATCTGATAGCTTGTGAGGCCTCAGCTCTTCTGTACTCTGCACTAATCATGGGGAAGTGGATGGCACAGAAAATGGTGAGCTCGTCCCCCTCGTTCCCTGTCTGGTCACCGCACCCCGCTCCTTTCCTCTTCCTCGTTTCTTTTTTTTTTAATCCCATAAACACAGTAAAGCCATTTTTAGTATCCTGTTTTGTTTCCTGATTATTCCAGGGTTCTCTCACTAGACCCAAGCCTCTCATTCTGCTGTAGGTCAGATTCTCTATTCCTTTTCCCTAGCCTAGAACCTTGCCAGCAGTTGCGAAAGTTACAGTTAGAACGTTCCCTTGCCCAGTCACCTCTTTGAAAACAAACACTACAATGTTACATGACTGCGATTAAAATCAGACACTGTCTGCTTTCCACATGTATCTCAGACAGGTTTTATTTAATGTTTCTTGTCAGAATATTGTAAATTCAAAAGGATGACTCTAAATAAATGCAAACAAAGACAAACTTGTGGTCTTTTTGTCTGTAATTACTTTAAAAAGAGATGGAGCTTGCAGGGAAATTTACTGTCTGACCAGTTACTAATGTGAGCCTTTCCCCCACCCCGCCTTTTCTTAATTTCTTCTGTAGGCCTCTTCTCGGTTATTAGTCCGCCCCACCAGCTCCGAAACCCCAAGTGCAGCCGAGCTCGTCAGTGCAATTGAGGAACTCGTGAAAAGCAAGATGGTGAGGCCTCCCAGACAAAGTCTGACTTTTGGAAGCTACTCTGTGTTGCTGCTTGCAAATGGATTTGCCCTTGTCCTTGTATTTCTCTGGGCTGCAGAATGTGGCTGTGGCTTATTGCACATCTCAGGAGTCCCCATGACCACCCTCAGGTTCACTGATTTGAAGGACTCAGAGAACTCGGGAAAGCCATTATTCCCACATTTGCAGTGTATTCCCATGAAAGGGCACAGATCAAAATAGGCAAGGGAAGAGCTGCATAGGTCAGGTCTCAGGGAGTGCCAGGTTCAGGCTGCCAACTGTGCTCTCCCAGTGGAATTGGGCAGACAGAGGATTGCCAACCACAGCAGCTAACCCAAGCCTTGGTGTTGAGTGTCTGCTTGGGCTCAGACACACATGGCTGACTGCTCTGTGTGGCTGACCTGAGTAGTCTCCTGCCCCTCCAAAGATCAAGACACTGTCACATTGCTAGCATGGACTATTTGCCTTGGTCCCAGGCCCCCACATAAACAGACATTCTCACCAAGCAGAACATTCCAAAGACTTACAAGTTCCCTCATAGAAAATGGGGGCAAACCTTACTACACACACCCTGCCTGCGGTCACTGCAAATGTGGTCTGCTCCAGTCTGTCTGAAGATGTACCAGGGTCAGTGGTACCCACAATTAGACTCTCAGTTTTGTTTTGCAACCCCCGAGACCTTTCATTTGGGTTTACAATGCGTACGAGAGAAGGGTTGGCATTATTATATAAGGGCTATATTTTCTCAGTGATCTCTTTGTTGCCAGTTGGCCAGTGTGGGTTCATTTGATAAAGGCCCCAAATTAAATGTTGGTTCTTTGAAGTAAGACAGGCATGTTTTGCTTCTAACTGATTCAAATCAATTAATTTCTGTTTTTTTCGTTTTCCTAACTGGGAAGTGGGAAAACCACCAATGGTAACAACTTTTTAGACTGGTATATCCTACTATCCCTATGAAGACAACATCTTTTAAAAGCAACTCCTCCCAAAGTAAAAGCCCTCAGTCTGTGTCAGCAATCCATTCTCCAGAGGTTACCACTGCGAAGAGTTCGATACGTTTCCCTCCAGACGTTTTCCTTGCTGGTGCAAACATGTATATGTGCATGCATTTTCTTTCCAGATGGGTTCGTTCAATTTTTAAGATTCTAATGATTAACACATCTTGAGGATCTTCTCACATCAGTCCATACAGATTACCTCTTTCCTTTATTTAATAACTGTATAGTATTCCTTTACATGAATTCTATGATAATAATACCACTGAGAGCTTATTCTAAGCCAGGCGCTGTTCTCAGTGCTGAGCATGTATTAATTTATATACTTCCCACAACAACCCTATAAGGTTTTTATGCATTATTGTTATCCCATTTTACAGATAAGGAAATTGAGGCACACAGAACATTACAAAAACTTGACTAGCCACTAAGGGTCAGAGACATGATTATGCTATAATTTATTTAAATATATTCCTAATATTTATTTGTTTCCCATATTTCTCTAAATATCCATTACATGTTTGTGATTATATTTGTAAGGTGAATTTGCAACACTGGAATTGCTGAATCAGAGTATACTTCTTTAAAGTTAGAAGTTTCTCTTCCTGCATTTAAATGCGTTAACTAGGTACCAAATATATCATTCCCATTTCTTCTTTCATCCACAGACAGCCTCTCATGAAACTGGTTGACTGAGTCAAATGGGAATTATATAAAGAAAAATTGGGACTGACTTGCCACCCTGCCATAGCTAGAAATTTCTCCCCAGGTAATCGTGTGGTGTTCCGGAAAAGACCCAATGAGCTTTGAAATTGGACAGGAAGCTTGCTAGGGCGTGGTGGGTAACTCACGAATTCGGACTCCACTGGTAAAGATTTTGGAATCAGGCTGGGTATGGTGGTTCATGCCTGTAATCCTAGCACTTTGAGAGGCCAAGGCAAGCAGATTGCTTGAGCCCAGGAGTTCGAGACCTGCCTGGGAAACACAGCGAGACCGCATCTCTACAAAAAAATGCAGAAATCAGCTGGGTGTGGTAGCATGCACCCGTAGTCCCAGCTATCAGGAGGCTGAGGTGGAAGGATCACCGGAGCCCAGGAGTTTAAGACTGCGGTAAGCTGAGATTGTACCATGGCACTCCAGCCTGAGTGACAGAGTGAGACCCTATCTCAACAAAAGAAAAAGAAAAAGAAAAAGAAAGGAGCTTAGAACCATGCCAGTATGGACTGAGTTCAGCTACATCCTTGGTATCTCTTTAAAAGAGAAGTTGATAAAACTGTCTAAATGAAGGGTGCTTAAATTGTATCCAGTGAGTTTTTAAGCATCCTTAAACTTTTTTTAAAAAGCCATTTATACACGTCAGTTAAATGACCATTAAAATCATTCTTACCAAATAGCTGAAATGGTTTCCCAGGGAATGCTGTGAGGCAGATCTGGCCACAGAGCTGCAGGTGTTTAAATTGTATTGCATTTTATATGGTCTGTGATTCATTTGTAATTAATTCACGTGGCCTTCCAAATGGAGAGGTGGTCTGTGGCATGGTCAGTTTTGACTCTGACTAGCTTAATCTCCTTTTCCAATTCTGAGGAATTAAACTTTCTCAGTTTACTCAGTGAAACTGAGTTATTTCTGCTCACTTCAGTGGGCATAAAGCTGTTGGCATAGGAAAGGCATAGGTTTTGGAATCAGATAGACTTGGGTTCACAGTCTCCTTATGGTGAGTTCCACCGGGCAAGTGCTTCAGCCTCGGAGACTGTCTTTCAGCTACACGTGGGAGCTTGCACCCAGGTTCCATCCACAGGGGCGTTCACTGGTGCCTTCCCCTCCTTTTGAAGAACCATGTTTGTACTTTATGTGATACATTCATCCTATCTTCAGTGGGCCAGGGAATGCTATCTAAATTCTCCCCTCTTTTTCTGGTTCAAGAGAAGCATCAACCTGTGTTGGTTTCCTGCCACTAATGCTCTAATGTCAAATGGGAACTACTTTTTGTCAGAAAACACTAATGCATCATTGTAATATCCTCAACTTATACTGACTCCACAGTAGATCCTTAAGCATCCACATGTGTTTTCTTGTGGGTGATTTCTGAGGCTGTCGCACATTCATAATTGGATTTGAACAGTGCATTGTTTATTCATCAGAAGCTGCGTATGTCTTTATTGGGTTAGGGAAGAGAGGAGAGAAGGTGTTCAGCTGTTACACAGTATGATGTTTAAGGAACTGAACCTACCTAAACCTAAAACCTGAGGATTTAACTCAAAAAATAAAAGCCACCCTGAAAAGTGTTGCCTGGGATTCACTCTTCTGGCTTACCTCCACATTCTTGATCCAGCTGGTTATTTTAAAGGTTGTGCATTTTTCTTGCATGTGGGCAATAGAGTAATAGTTCCCTGCTGCCGCAGTGACTGTGTGAACTTGACTTTGGGATTTTCTTCTCTTCACTAATCAAAATATAAAGGGAGATACAAGAAAGTATAAAAATAAATGAAATCACATCTAACGCAAGATGTTAGAAAAACAACAAATTAAACCAAAGAAAAGCAGAAGGAATGAATTCATAGAGATAAAAGCCGAAATTAATGAGCTGGAAAACGGTAGCATAATAAAACCAAAAATTTGTTCTTTAAATATAGACATTAGGTAACCATGTCAAGAAAATAGAAAACACAAATTCCCAAAATTAAGAAATTGTAAGAGAGGAAAAAACTGAGGAAATTCAAATAATCATAAGACGTTATTTTTGGCCGGGCACGGTGGCTCAAGCCTGTAATCCCAGCACTTTAGGAGGCCGAGACGGGCGGATCACAAGGTCAGGAGATCGAGACCATCCTGGCTAACATGGTGAAACCCCGTCTCTACTAAAAAATACAAAAAAATAGCCGGGCGAGGTAGCGGGCGCCTGTAGTCTCAGCTACTCGGGAGGCTGAGGCAGGAGAATGGCGTAAACCCGGGAGGCGGAGCTTGCAGTGAGCTGAGATCCGGCCACTGCACTCCAGGCTGGGTGACAGAGCAAGACTCCGTCTCAAAAAAAAAAAAAAAAAAAGACGTTATTTTGTTCATCTCTTTGGTAATAATTTAAAATGAAACCTGAATGAAATGGGCAGTTTTCTAAGGAAATATAATTTATCAAAATTAATCTCATAAGAGGTAGAATATTTCTGTAGACCCATCTTCATGTAAGAAAGAGAGGAAGTTGACAAGGACACAAAAAACAACCAAACCCAGAGAGTTTCACAAATAATTCATCCAAAATCTGTAAAGTCTCAGTGGTTGCAGTTTTGAGACAGCCTTCTGCTGGTGACAGCCTTCTCACTCACTTTTGTGGAAGAGGCAAATGGGCCTCATGAAGGCGACAAGGATGTCTAGCCACGACTGCACCTCTTCAGGGTGTGGGCACCCTCTCGGCAGCCCGTCTTGTCAGGAAAGATCAGACCTAGGACAGGCAGTCGAGGGGCCTGGAGACTCCTTTGTTGCAGGTCGAGAAAACCGGAAGACAGGTCCCCACGGACACTGATGAAATCCGTGACCTTACCTCCCTGCCCTCTGCAGCATCAGGGGCATCTGGAGCCTTTCTCTTTATTTTCTTTTTTTTTTTTTTTCTCACTGTTCGAATGAACAGAATTCAATCTAACAGGCTTCAGCTGTCCGGGTGGGGGGTGGGGGGGTACGGAACATTCTCCCCTCGCTCTCAAAAACAGATATGATCTGATGAGCATGAAACAAGCGCCACTACTCACAGCAAAACGTTTGCTTCCGGTAAAGCTCAATGGCTATTTATTTAAAAGAGTGCATTTATTTTTCAGATCAAACTCTGTTCCTTAACTCACTTAATGTCCTGTTTTTCAAAAGTAAGATCAGCAGTTGGTGTGTTTTTTATAGCTCCAAGGGTTTTAACAAGATTGCGTGTACAGTACATACTTTGTGTCCTCAAAGCTCTGCTTAACGATGAAATCAGACTCAGTCTGTTACTGTGAAGAGGGAAAAATAGAACAAGTATTAGAGATTTTAGTTTATTAATATCAAATGTTTTAAGTGAGGTATTGTTTTCTCATTTTGTATTGTGCTGTTCAAACGAAGAGTAAGTTCATCACAATTTTTTCCAGTTCAATCATATCTATATATCCAGTTTGTTGCTTTGGGAATGTTAAAAGAACTGTGAATCTTAGGTATTCTGTGAATCCAGGTAAAACAAGATTAATATGTACCAAATTAAAAGCAATGAGTCACCAGTCATTATCACATTAATCCAAGGAGAGAAGTCACCAATATTCAACTTACAGATTTGCTGAACACTTGCAAAGATTTGCATGAGGTTCCACCAGGGATACAGCAATAAAAACAATCACCTGTAGAAACCAGAAGCTAGTGGGGGAAAGAATGTATTGCAGAAGTAATTAAGACCAGCATGATTACTATTTTGTATAGAGGGACAGAATGCAAGTTGCTAGATGGAGATTAATTTTACCTGGGTGATCTGTAGGCATTGAAGTATGAGTCAAAACTATAATAGGATAATCAGGAAACGAACCAAGTTTGTTTGAACTATAGATTGCTGATAGTCCACCAACAGGGAATGCAGGCACCATGTCCATGAGCCACACTGGCCTGACCGACACGCATCCCAACGGCTTATTTGGCAGGAATATAACCAATAAGAAAATTGCTAGATATTAAATATGTGTGATATATCCAGAAATGAGTGCAGCACTCTGACGTAAGCAAGTATAACATTTCTACTTATTTGGTAACGAGAAATAGAATATATTAATGTATGTAAATTCACTATCCTTTTCATTCCAACTTGCCTCTTTTGTCCCCCTCCTTTGACTCTATTTTTTGGTTAATAGTTGGGTTTTTTGTGTTATTAAATACTATAATTTCATAAGCATAAAGATTTTATAATTTCACAAATACATTTTCTGTATTTTCTTGTCTTAGTTTCAGCCAAGCATGGGCTGTAGGCAGTAAGTGTTGTTGCTTATCTCAATGTCTTCCAGGCACTGGAGGATCGTCCTAGCTCACTCCTTGTTGACCAGGGAGATAGTAGCAGCCCTTCCTTCAACCCTTCGGATAATTCCCTTCTCTCTTCCTCCTCGCCCATTGATGAGATGGAAGAAAGGAAATCCAGCTCTTTAAAGAGAAGACAGTAAGACAGAAATGTTTTCATTCTTATTGTTCTCCGGGTTCCCTCCTGTCTTTGTTGCCTTCAAAAATGTGACTGAGATTCAGCTCTGAATTACCTAGATGAGGAGCTCCATGGCGTCTCATTGAGGGATTGTACGTATGTAAGACTTAGGACCTAATAAGGGCACAGTATTCCATAGCCGCAGTTTCTTGTTTTATTTGTATGTGATACTTCATAAGTAAAAATGATGCAAGTTAAAAATGTCTTCTGCCACGTCTGGCGAGAAACTCCTAGACTTTTTATTGTACCTGTGATTGTGAAAGAAAAAGTCATGTAAAATTAGAACCAATCCCCAAAACTTGAATAGTCTTCAAATACACTTTACTGGTAGGTGTTTCTCAATTCCAGTAAAGCAGCATATAGTGAAAAGAGTCCTGAAAAATGTTACAAAAGGTTTAAACTTGCCTTTGAAGAAGAAGAAAAAAAAACATAAGCTACAAAACGGCAGAGACTGTATGTCTTCTTTAGCACTGTATCCCAGCACCTCCGATGGTGCTGGACACGTGAGAGGTGCCAGGTTGATGCTGATTGAATGAATGACTGAACAACACGTGAATCAACCTTTTCAGGCCAATTGAGGTTGTTTGCTATGCTGATCAAATGATTGTCTTCTATTATCTGAGTGGCCTTAAACGGTTACTGAATGTTACAAACAGAAATACTTGTGAGTGATGTGATTAGACCCAAGGCTTTAAACATCTGAATTAAAAGTTTTTCTTTTATAGCCAGTGAAGGTTAAAATGACTTAATCATATTTTTTAAAGCCACCTCCTTTACTGTCATGGCTTTGTCATAAAGTTGTGTCTAAGCTTCTTTGTTGTCCCTGTATGTGATCGGAATCCAGAAGGGTGAATTCACCCGGATTGCCCTCATGCACTGTGCCTAAGTGTCTCTTGACCTCCAGCGCTCTTGGGGGTCAACCACTGGAACCCTGTAAGTGATTTGGGAACTTCCAGAATTTAACACCCAAATGTACAAATTTGATACATTACTATTCAGTCCCGGAAGGAGTCCGTCTTGACCAGGAGCAGAGGTACAAAAAAATTCACTTAGAAAACAGAGTTTGCGGCCGGGCACGGTGGCTCACGCCTGTAATCTCAGCACTTTGGGAGGCCGAGGCGAGCGGATCATGAGGTCAGGAGATCGAGACCATCCTGGCTAACACAGTGAAACCCCGTCTCTACTAAAGAATACAAAAAATTAGCCGGGCGTAGTGGCGAGCGCCTATAGTCCCAGCTGTTCAGGAGGCTGAGGCAGGAGAATGGCGTGAACCCAGGAGGTGGAGGTTGCAGTGAGCCGAGATTGTGCCACTGCACCCCAGCCTGGGCGACAGACCAAGACTCCGTCTCAAAAAAAAAAAAAAAAAAAGAAAACAGAGTTTGCATGATAAACACTATCTTTCTCTCTCCAGCTACGTTTTGCAAGAATTGGTGGAGACAGAGCGTGACTATGTGCGGGACCTTGGCTATGTGGTTGAGGTGTGTATTGCCAGAAATTTGGTAACTTTGTATCAGCCCCGGGAGTTGTCCAAAGTAGTATCGGGTTAGACAGTTGAACACCTCTCAAATTAAAAACGTTTTTGACCCAAAATAAAAAATGACCAACAAAGTATTTCCAAAAAATTAAATTTAGCCAATTATCTTTACCATCTGTATTCAGTTGTAAATGTTTCTTTTTCACATAGTGTATCTTGACATAATCTTTTTAACAATTAAAATGTATAATTATTATAAATAATAATTTAATATTATTATTAAATGATACTAAGTAAGTATATTATACTTAGTAGTTAGGAATCTTGCCTTAATTATTTCACAAGAGTGTGGGTATCACTACAGAAGTGGAGAGCTTACTGGTTGAAAAAGTCATTGTGGCCCAGCTGTGGGTTTGGTTCCATCCTGAATCCACCCAGGTTCAGAGCTTGGACTGTGGCTGCAGCAGGTCATTTACTGATAGTTTTGTGCAGAATACATTGCTGTTTCCATTGACCAGAAGTTGCCAAGCACTGTAGCCATAGCAAACCACTGCCTTTTGTACTGGATCGAGAGCCATCTCTAGGCTAGTCCCTGCCAGTCAATTTGGAGATTAGTCAGATTAAGAAACTCAACTCATCAAAAAGTTATTTTTGTAGTATTAAATTTTATGTTTACTCTTTCACCTTTGCAAATTTGTATAGGACAATACTTTTTGGTTACACATCCCATTAAAAGTACCAGCTATTACAGTTAATTGCGTAACACAAAAGATTTAACATGCTTGATTTGTCTGCAGTCATTGTTAACAGTGAGATAAGCAACATGAGTACTTAAGAGGTTCTGTACGGACTCAATTAAATAGAAATTTTAAGCCACATTTTAGCAGCGTATTCAATCCGCTGTTGTTTAAAAATCAATTTATAAAAATATTGTTAAACCTTTATTTAACAGATTACACAAATAATCCAAAAAGAAAAGAAAATCTTTGTTTCTAAGAGATAAATGCTGAAAACAGGAGATACAATTCTGACCAAATATTTAATATTTACAAACTATTTTAATGAAACCATTTACATTTATGTAAACTTCTTTAATTCCTTAGAAGAATTTTGATCTGTGAGTGCTGAACAGTCCAGGGAAAGAAAATTACAGCAATGAATATAATGGGTATATTCCAAGTATCAGTTAAAGATACTTTTCATATGGGGTTTTTTGTTTGTTTTAGATAAAGAGCTGGTTACAAGACAGTGCATGCATCGGTTTTGCCTTCTGTGACTATTAATCAGTAAGCCGCTAATTGATTCAGACATATTCCATGAAATACACTTATCATAACTGTTTAATTGTAGGGCTACATGGCACTTATGAAAGAAGATGGTGTTCCTGATGACATGAAAGGAAAAGACAAAATTGTGTTTGGCAACATCCATCAGATTTACGACTGGCACAGAGAGTACGTAAAGATACATTGTGCCCGATGGTATGCGAAGCACCTGCACTTGCTAAACCGAGGCAGGCCAGGCCAAAGGAAATTTGTTCTGTTCATTTTATTACCTGCGTAGCCTCCTGGAGGGAGCTGGTGCAAAGGAGATATTGATGTACCCAGGAATTCTGCAGCAGCATTTGGTGGCAAGGAGAGAATCTCGTCTCTTGTTCTTGCTGGTCCATGTCGAGAGTCTGTGGAAGGAATTAGCTGGAAGCACCAGCGTGGAGCCAGCTGCCAGAGCTGCTGGCCTGGTCCTGACCTTGAGCCCTCAGCCTCCCTGCTGTACACTTCCATGCTTCATCTGCACACCCACATTATAATGTTACCAACCTTGTGGGTTTTTTATGAAGAGTGACTGAGTTAATACTTTTACAAAGCGCTTAGAACAACATCTGCGTAGAATAAGCCTCAATAAGTATTTCTAACTAGAACTGCAGCCATCTTTAGAATAAATACAAGTTATCATTAGAGGACCTTGAAGACACTCATTTGTCCAATTATTTTATGTTATTTTTATTTTTTAGAGACAGAGTCTCGCTCTGTCACCAAACTGGAGTGTAATAGTATGATCATAGTTCACTGCAGCCTTGAACTCCTGGATTCAGGTGACCCTCCCACCTCAGCATCTCTCAGCATCTGTAGTAGCTGGGGCTACAGGCACGCAGCACCATGCACATCTAACTTTTTTATTTTTCATAGAGACACAGGGTCCTACTGAGTTGCTTAAGGTGGTCTTGAACTCCTGGGCTCAAGCAGTCTTCCCACCTCAGCCTCCCAAAGTGCTGAGATTACAGCATGAGCCACCACACCTGGCCCAACTCAATCTTTTTTTTTTTTTTTTTGAGACGGAGTCTCGCTCTGTAGTCCAGGCTGGAGTGCAGTGGCCGGATCTCAGCTCACTGCAAGCTCCGCCTCCCGGGTTCACGCCATTCTCCTGCCTCAGCCTCCCGAGTAGCGGCTAGTTTTTTGTATTTTTTGGTAGAGACGGGGTTTCACCTCGTTAGCCAGGATGGTCTCGATCTCCTGACCTCATGGTCCGCCCGTCTCGGCCTCCCAAAGTGCTGGGATTACAGGCTTGAGCCACCGTACCCGGCCTCAACTCAATCTTTAATGGAAAAAGTAGACATGATTAACCATGAAATTCGACTCTGGTACCACTACGTTCCCCACACGTATCCTAATCAGGAGGCGATCCATCTGGGGACTGGTGCTACGTAGCTCACCTTGGCTACCAGAGCTTGTCAACTTACCTGTCCCTTTAGGTCACTTTGCTTATAACTTTAAAAATCCTTCATCATCTGAGGATTGCTTAATGCTGGCCACTGGTCTTCCAGTGGAGTGTTCCAGGTGCACTGTCTGCTCTGGTTACCTGGCAGGGCCTTCTGCTCTCCTGTCTTGATGCAGCTGCTCCTCCCCCTGTACAGGGTGGAGCACAATGTCATCACCTCCAAAGCTCTGGCCTCTCTCTGAAGCTGAGCTCCAATACTTGCTTCTCCATTAGGCCTGGGTGTTCCCAGTCAGACTCCTTCTCTTCTGCAGAAGCAGGTGGGAATATGCTCTTTTAAACTATGAAATACTGGACAGATATAAGGAGGAACTGCCATGGCATGTATCAAGTAGTGTTGTTATTTCTGTACTTCTCCCTCGTAATAGATTGTAAAACCTTTGAACCCAGGTCAGAGAGGTCTTTATTTTCATATCCCCTGTGATGTATAATTTATTTGGATTTACAGATAAATGATTGGTGAACTTTAGAAACAGCACTCCAGTTTATAGCTCTGTGCTGTAGACTTACTGAAAGTCTACAGTGAAACCAATTCAAAAAGGGATATTTTGTATTATGATTTAGTCTCCTACTTCCAAGGCTGGTTTTTAACGCTGTGAAGGGAAGCTGAAAATGACAGTGTTTCTGGGATGTCCAGACAGAGAAACTGCATCCAGAGATGCTATCCACCACAGCAGGGATAGTAAATCCCTTAGTACAACATTAATTGTCATGGTGGTTTGGGGTTAATGTAATACCAAATATTAACATAAATAAAAATATATTTAAGTGATAACTAAGGTGGACATATATCTTAAAAGACAACTACAGCCCAGAAAACAATGAACATTGTTGTCCTACAGCTATGTGGTCACTGTGATGATACCTAATTTTAATCTTAAAGGGAGTTGATATTTATAACCTAGAAGTGGATTTTGATAACATTTGAGAAAGCTTCATAAAGCTGACACAGGTAACATATTTAGTTTTGTGTATCTGCTGTCCAATTTGAGTCTCTAAAAATTATCTTAGAATGAATACGAAGTTCGCAGGTATGAAGACCAAGTTTTCAGAAATAAAAAATGTCCAAGTACTTTGAAGCATCTATTTTTCACTCATTATTCAGCCGAGGATATTAGCACTTGTGTCCTTGAACAGAGATGAGAATGTTTGTTGTCCAAAGACCAGGAAGGTTACCAGCCAAGGGATGCACGGTCGTGCCTCATCTCCTGTGACTTTGTATTCCTTTAGGCTTTGTAGCTTAACAAAAGGTTTTCCTTGTACTTGTTAAGTTTCCGTGTATTTGTTAAATATATGCTTCACACTTCGCAGTTGCTCGTATCAAAACAGACTATTGAAAATGTAAACCTGGCCAGGCACAGTGGCTCACGCCTGTAATCCCAGCACGTTGGGAGGCCAAGGCAAGTGGATCACTTGAGGTCAGGAGTTCGAGACCAGCCTGGCCAACATGGTGAAACCCCGTCTCTACTAAAAATGCGAAAAAATTAGCCAGGCGTAGTGGTGCATGCCTGTAACCCCAGCTACTTGGGAGACTGAGGCAGGAGAATCGCTTGAACCCAGGAGGCAGAGGTTGCAGTGAACCAAGATCACACCACTGCACTCCAGCCTGGGTGACAGAGTGATACTCTCTCAAAAAAAAAAAAAAGAAAAGAAAAAATGTAAACCTAAATCTAAAGTTAGAAGGCCACACTGGAAATAGTTCTAATATTTTCTCCTTTCTTTTCAGCTTTTTTTTAGGAGAGTTAGAGAAGTGCCTTGAAGATCCAGAAAAACTAGGATCCCTTTTTGTTAAACACGTAAGTATAATAGCATTGCTTATATCCTGTTCTGATGGTGTCATCTTTAGTCATCGGTTTGTCGGATTAAAGGAGAACTCACTTATACTTTACATGAGTGCGTATGTTTAAGATAAAATCAAACCGCATGGTGTTAGTGAGTTGGAATTAAAATCCCTTCTTCAACATGAGTTACCTTCTTTCCCAGTCACCTGGCTGCAGCTGGCTATTTGGCTAGCAGCAGCCCAGGTTGGTGAGAAAGGACCAGAGCCAGGCCTGAACAGTATCATTTGGGGTGTCTGAGCAGGCAGGTATTGTTGAGTGGAGATGTAACTGTACCTGCAGTGTGTTTAACATAACAGCCACATAGTGTGTATATCTAAAATAAGTGTATTAACATTAAAGTTTTTTGTTTTTGGGAAAAATCACAATATATTTTTAGATTTAGTGACAGGAGTTTTTGCATTTTTGCCAGTCTCTTTAATGTCTTGCTGAATAAAAGACAGCTGGATTTTTATATCTGCTTCTGCATCTAACTCATTGCTATGTTTTTTGGTTCAAGTATCCAAACAAATCCATCCTTACACACATATAGTTAGAAAAGGATGAGTATTTTAATAGCCTGTTCAGATAATTATATAGTTTTCTTAGATGCTACCCCAAAACTTGACAATTGATCATTTCTTAAAGGTTAGTTGCAATATGGAATCTGAAAACCTACCCATGAACTTCTCCCTTGCTGTGACGTTAAGTACATGTTAATTAAATACATTTAATGTTTCTATTGGGCTTCGAGGCTCCTGCAGCCACGCAGGGTCCTGTGACATCAGGCATCAGTCCACTGGAAGATCCCAGCTCACAGACTTAGGCAGATCTTCCAGAGGTTGACACATTTCATTACACAGTCTCCAAAATTCCAGTTCTTTAACTTTACCACCCATCTCTTTGAAGGCTTTAAGTGTGAAGTTCAGAGTGGCAGATATATATTTCCCAAAATTTTAATTTTTTGCTTGAAAGCTGTAATTTTCACTAACAAACACTGCCAGTTGTTTGCCTTGAAATGACAGGCTTATTTTGTTCATGTTCAAGAAAATGAACAGATACCCAAGAGTAAATAATTATAGTTTGTGTCAATCATTCTTCCAAGTAAAAATGGTGATCCATTAAAAAAAGTGGTTAGTTCCACTCACAACTCAGTTACATAAGTGCTTTTTCTTGAGACATTTATCGAGTGCAATTCAAGTGTTGTGTGGACATCATCTTGTCACAAGAATGTTAAAAAGGTATATACTCCCTGGTTGAGTTTTAATAAAAAGAATGATGTTTACTCATCCAGGACATTCTTAAGTGAAGCTATTTTTTTTTTTTTTTACTGTAAATTTGTGGCAGTGAACAGTTTTTGCCAAGGTGCCAGCAATTTCACCCACCATTGGTTTTGCACATCAGCACAGATGTCAGCACAATGAAAAGGACAACTGACATCTTAGTGGTGTTTAGAAAATAGTTCTGACCTAATGGCGCCACAGAAAGACCTCAGGGGGCACTGGAGGTCTGCACACTCTACTTTGAGGATCACTGATTTATGGAAAGGCTCATTGTCTACATTTTTTTTTCCTCTGCCTTTATGATTTGAGATTAAAGAGCTTTTTCTTCTCTACTAAAACCAACCAGGCTTACTAGGACTGTTGGCAGGGTTTGGAGTGATGGCAGTAATTCTTTGTTTAATATTAAGAAGGGTTTTTCTGGCCGGGTGCAGTGGCTCACGCCTGTAATTCCAGCTCTTTGGGAAGCCGAGGCGGGCGGATCACGAGGTCAGGAGGTCGAGACCATCCTGGCTAACACGGTGAAACCCCGTCTCTACTAAAAAAGACAAAAAAATTAGCTGGGTGTGGTGATGGGCGCCTGTAGTCCCAGCTACTCGGGAGGCTGAGGCAGGAGAATGGGATGAACCCGGGAGGCGGAGCTTGCAGTGAGCCGAGATGGCGTCACTGCACTCCAGCCTGGGCAACACAGCCAGACTCCATCTCAAAAAAAAAAAAAAAAAAGGAGGGTGTTTCAGCCAGGTGCAGTGGCTCATGCCTGTAATCCCAACAGTTTGGGCGGCCAAGGCAGGAGGGTTGCCTGAGGCTAGGAGTTTTGAGACCAGGCTGGGCAAAAAAGCAAGACTCCATCCCTACCAAAAAAAAATTAAAAATTAGCCAGGCATGGTGACACACATCTGTAATCCTAGCTACTCAGAGGCTGAGGTGGGCGGATGGCTTGAGCCCGGGAGTTTAAGGCTTCAATGAGCCATGATTACACCACTGCCCTCCTGCCTGGACAACAGAGTGAGACACTGTCTCCTAAAAAAAAAAAAACAAAAAACCGTGTTCTTTTGCTACCTCTGGTATTTGTTGGTATTTGGTACTGTAAAGTGAAGGGTATGGTGTGTGGGGAGTGATGGGGAAGGACTGGTTGTGGAGCTCCACCATAGAATGCTGATCTACATCATGAATCTGGAGTTTACTCCCAAGAGCCTTAGCCATGCAACTTGGTTTTAAGATGATTCCCTTTATGAATGTGCTGAAATGTGTGTGTGCTCTTGTATTCTCATCCAGCTTCCCATTGTTATAACCCGACTGTTTGCCTTTTTTATTCCTAGGAGAGAAGGTTGCACATGTACATAGTTTATTGTCAAAATAAACCAAAGTCTGAGCACATTGTCTCAGAATACATTGATACCTTTTTTGAGGTAAGATCTAAGATACAAACAAAGTATTTCTGAATCTTTTGTTCTAATTCATTTCCAAAAATTAAAGTATCATTGGTTTCCCAGGAGACTAATTTCCAAAGAAAATTAGCCTGAGTGATAAGACTTCTGAACCTGTGTTTCTTTCCTATAAATCCGAGAAATGAGTATGAATTTAGTCTGTGGTCATACCCCTGGCATTCAGAAGACTGCAGTCATTGTTAAAAATAAGGGTTTTTATAAGTGTTAAACTTAAGTCTCATTACAAATCCAGAATAATTTATGTTCTAAACTTGTAGCCTAAAAATAATATATATATTTATACGAATAAAAGAACACAATTGCAAAAATGTCATTAAACAAGCATAAAAGACTGCTTTGAAAAACAACTCAGGTGAAAGTGTGAAACTTGGAAATTCTGTGAACTAGCAAAGCTCTAGTTAGTCTAGTGCTTTTTTTTCCTAGTTACTTTTACTGCCAGTGTTGTAATCTTTCTGACAATTACAAAGACTAAAAATTTGCCCTTTAATGAACAGCCCATACGATCTTTTCTCTCTTAAAACCGCAGGACTTAAAGCAGCGTCTTGGCCACAGGTTGCAGCTCACGGATCTGTTGATCAAACCAGTGCAGAGAATCATGAAGTATCAGCTGTTACTGAAGGTGAGGAGGTAGCGGGACAGACTCTGGTGTCAGGAGTGAGTTTGCTGAGAAAATAAGACTCAGTGGGGGAAAGAAGGATTTGGTAGGACAGGAGAATCATTTATGTAACAAGTATATTATTTCTGTTAAGTTAATCTTTAAAAATTTAAGAAAACACTTCAAACAATTTTCTCAATTTTTTATTTACATCAAGTTCGGAATGAAAATATCAGTAAAAGTGAATTTTTTCCCCCCCACCACAGACCTTGGAATGCTAATGATTTTTCTTCTGCTCTATCAACTTTAATTATTTTCTAATCTTCTTGGAACCTTGGATAAAAGTAAATTTGGAATCCCTTTGTATTCTCTCTGTTGGCTTAACACTAGCCCTTGGTTGATTTAAATTCTTAAGCATAGCTGAAGGCAGAGTCACATGTTTTTCTGTGATAAAAGTGACTTCAAGTGTAATGAGATTCCTTCATATACAACACTTAGGACCTGGATATAGAGAGGGACAAAGAGTTTGTCTTGCGTTAAACAGGAACCATCAGATAGATCTGGTCTGACTCTGTGGACTGCAGCTTGAAATCCACATGGGAATGTCTTTTTGTTGTGTTACTGATAAAGTACTTATAACAATATGATAAAGTAGAACTAAAGCACCAGACAGGTGTGGTGGTGCACACCTGTAGCCCCGGCTACTTGGGAGGCTGAGGCAGGAAGATAGCTTGAGACCAGGAGTTGAAGGCTGCAGTGAGCTATGATTGCTCCTTTGAATAGCCACTGCACTCCAGCCTGGACAGCATAGTGAGAACTTGTCTATTAAAAAAAAAAAAAAAAAAAATTCTTTCAGAACTAAAGTGCTGAACCCAGTGTCTGGCACAGTGTGAGTGGTCAAAAGGTTAGCTTGTGTTCAGTGTCTCATTCCTGTAGTCTCAGCTACTCAGGAGGCTGAAGCAAGAGGATCACTTGGGGCCAGGAGTTCAAGACCAGCTTGAGCAACATAGTGAGACCCTGTCTCTTAACAAAATAATAAAAGGACAGCTCCTGTTGTCTTTGTCACCATTATCACGTCCTCTCCATTTCCCTTTCAGGACTTCCTCAAGTATTCCAAAAAGGCCAGCCTGGATACATCAGAATTAGAGGTACATGCGTCAGTGACTGTGCCCCCCCAAATCCCCACCAGCCTCTTTTCCTACTCGCCTCGTGTCTCCTAACAGTGGTCTAGCCCTGGGAGGGGTCAGAGCAGTGGGTGACAGTCTCTCCAGTGCATCTCCATGAGCCCTGCACACTAGGGGGTGGGGAAGAAGAACAGAACTTCTTCAGGTCAGAGGGTGAGCACGTCAGATTTTCCCCAGAGGAACTTGAACCTCCACTCTTCTCTCTTCCCTCCCGCAGAGAGCTGTGGAAGTCATGTGCATAGTACCCAGGCGGTGCAACGACATGATGAACGTGGGGCGGCTGCAAGGATTCGACGTAATGCGGCTCTTGTTCTTTAAGAGAGCTCCTCTGCCTTCCCTCTCTTTCTTTTGTCTTGGATTATTTTTCTCCACGGGGAAAAAGCTGATCCTTTTCACTTGGTTTTCTGGCTTCTCTCACTTTACTTCAATCTGATTGATGTTTTCTTTCCTTTTTTTTTTTTTGGTGCATTTGATTTGCTTTTTTGGGACTTGCCTGTGCTCAAAGCCCAGCGCCTCATGGCAGAAACAAGCAGGACTGGGCTTTGTCTCTTGGGCCAGTGGTGTAAGAACTGAGTTTCCTTTCCCCAGCATTTAGGACCATGGTAGCTATGGATATAGTAGGACCTAGGAGGCCCCCACTCTCTCATCTCTGGGACTTGATACTTCCTCATTAGTTTAAGATACGTTTGCATGAGTTGCTAGACTATTCATCTTACATATTACCTATTATGTATCCTCAGGATGAGTTCAGAACCAGAATCTTCTTTTAAAAATTTGACTATTGAGTTAAGGAGGCGGGAGAAGTTTTTATTTTCTTGCCTACTGTTTTGCTAGAGAATTAACATTGACAGTTCTAGTGCTGTGGTTCTCTCTGAAGCACACACAGAGGCCACCGGAGGCCTTCTGAGAACTCCTCTGCATGCCTGATGAGTTCCTGCTGGCGGCCCAGGGACCACACTTTGAGAACCACTGTTCTAGTATAAACCAGACATTTAAAATTCCACTTTTAATCTGTAACTGTAACTGAGGCGCCAGAGGTCTTTACAAACGTTGGCAAGAATTTTATTTAGATAATTATTCTGTTTAGGGCCAAGAATAGTAAAAGAAAAAAAAAATTAAGCTCCATAAATTAATAAAAGAAAAATACATTATTCTATAGGAGGAAATCTAAAGAAAACAGAGCTTCAGATAACTTAGAATGCAATGTTTTCTTCTCCCCTTCCTTTTCCCCCTTTATTTCTTGTTTTAGGGGAAAATCGTTGCCCAGGGTAAACTGCTCTTGCAGGACACATTCTTGGTCACAGACCAAGATGCAGGACTTCTGCCTCGCTGCAGAGAGAGGCGCATCTTCCTCTTTGAGCAGATCGTCATATTCAGTGAGCCACTTGATAAAAAGAAGGGCTTCTCCATGCCGGGGTTCCTGTTTAAGAACAGTATCAAGGTAATGTGTGTCTGTGTGTGTTTTCTCTGTGCCGGCGCATGTACCCATCACACCGATAAACACTGTTTCCTTTTAATGATGACACTCCCTGATGCTTGGTTTAAGTATTTGAGAATTTTCTAGTATATTTCAGAGCCTTTGAATTCACCCATTTCTCTCTTTACTGTCTGTGTTCTTGAGTGGCTAATGTCTTGTGCACACCTCTATGTGACCACAGCCATTCCTTCTTAGATGAGAACTGGTCATGGGTAGTGTTTATGCACCACCTTCTCTAGGACCATGGAAAACTGGTTTAAATTTGATAGCATGGATTTGGGGGATTGTTCTGTGATCAGAGAAGAAGCTAACTTGGTGTCTTCTTCTCTTCCCCCACTCACCAAGGAGGTACTGAGCACTCAGCAGCCGGCGTGAGGGGTCCAGGAATGGCCCAGTTGGATGCCCTCCCTACCCTGATGTAGCTTATCCTCTAATAGGAAAGGAAGACAGAGGGACAAAGAAAATAATTGCAAATGGCCCTCAACTCTATAAAAGGGACAAACCAAGGGTGAGGTAGAGAAGAGCAGAGGGCAGGCCTGAGGTCCCAGCAGATGACTCCTGGGAGATATACGCCCCCGCCAGGGTCCTCCTGGCTCTGCAGCTGTGCAGAGCCTGAGGTCAGAAGGGAGATGCACTTCCTTTTGGTAGGGCCTTCTGCCCTAAGCCATCAGTGAAGGGGAACTCTCAGACCGTGCACATCTGCAGGCCTCACAGCACACAGGCAGAACATTGCATCCTCCCCCATCCGGCTCCCTGCTCAGGCTTTTGTTGGCTGTCCCCAGCAACCTTCACTTGCCTAAACCTGGGGTGGGTCTGTCCACAGGCACAGATGCCAGGCTGGGGAGTCTCTGCCCACCAGCACCTAGGAAGGCTCTGGAGCCAGACAGTTGGGGAAGGAGGCTGCCTCTGCATGAGGCTGGGCTGTGGGCCCTCGCACCTCCCACCACCCTCCTGCCCCTCCAGACTCCGCCTTTTGAGGCCCCTTATCCTGAGGCCATGTCAGGCACAGACCTTCTGGGCTCACCACTACACCTGAGCCTCCACCCATCCCCTGAACTGTGTGCCCATCCCCTGAGCTGCACCCATACTCTGAACTGCACCCATCCCCTGGACAGCAGCCATCATCCAAACTGTGCACCCATCCCCTCAACTGTGCACCCTTACACTGAACTGCACCCATACGCTGAGCTGCACCCATCCCCTGGACTGCAGCCATCATCTGAACTACACCCAGCGCCTGCACTGCACCCATCCATCCCCTGCACTGCACCCATCCCCTGAGAACTGCCTACCCATTCGTCTCACAAGTCTTTTGTCAGAAAATCACTCCAGCACTGTAGGAATTTTGTATATATTTTTTACATATTGTTTTTATAAAATTATCTGACATTTTAATCATGATATCATATATACTTTTATAACATAGGTTATAAAATTGGTTATCAAATATTGGTATTTGAGATTTGTTTAATGGTGTCATTTACACCCTGGGAAGTAAGGGATAAATACTGAGGCATCATAGAGGGGTTTGGGAAACAGGTAATCCCAGACCCATATTTCTAGTTAATTGTTCAGGCTGTTAGTTCAAACTGTTAGTTAGTTTAACAGCCTTGTAATCCCCATGTACCTGAGTCAAGAGGCATTGAAAAGCTTCAAGTGTTTTCTGAGGCAGTAAAAATGGCAGTTCAACGGAAAAGTGCTTGTTTCAGGATTGAGGTAGGATGAACTTCGCTTTGCACTTGGCCAGTGGGGATCAATGTGCTTTAATTTTTTATTGTGGTAAAATACACATAACATAAATGTGCTGTCTTTAATTGCCTAGCGCTGTGGGATTAAGAGCATTCATGTTGTGTAACCATCACCATCATGTCTTCACAACTCTTCATCTTGCAGAGCTAAAGCCCTGTACCCATTAAACACTAACTCCCCACTTCCCCATCCCCAAGCCCCTGGGAACCTCCACTCTATCTATCCCCACATTTGACTACTCTAAGGACCTCCTGTAAGTGGAATCATAACAATAGTTGTATTTTGGAACTGGCATATTTGACTTAGCATAACGTCTCCAAGGTTCATCCATGTCATAGTGTATGTCAGAATTTCTTTACTCATTAAGGCTGAAAAACTGTCCACATAGCCCACATTTTCTTGGTCCATTCATCAGTCAGTGGACACATGGCTTGCTTCCTTTCCACCTGTTAGCTATTATGAATAATGCTTGCTTTTTTTTTTTTTTTTCAGGTGAGTTGCCTTTGCCTGGAGGAAAATGTGGAAAATGATCCCTGTAAATTTGCTCTGACATCAAGGACGGGTGACGTGGTAGAGACCTTCATTTTGCATTCATCTAGTCCAAGTGTCCGGCAAACTTGGATCCATGAAATCAACCAAATTTTAGAAAACCAGCGCAATTTTTTAAATGGTAATATGTGTTCTGTTACTAGATGTGTGCTTTCTTTCCTAATGTACTCACTTGTATTTATCTTCCCTCTCCCGTTCATATCCATAGTAATGACAGAACTTAGCACTCACCACTCTTCAGGCACTGCCTAGATATTGCTTTACTTCATCTTCACAACCACCCTGTGTGGCCAGTACTATTATTATCCCCGCTTTACAGATGAGAAAGCTGGGGCACCGAGTGGCTGAGTAATTTGCCTCGAGTCCCACAAGTTGTTGAGGGCAGAGTCAGGATGCAGAGTGGCCATCTGGCTCTTGGTCTGTGCCCCTCGCAGCTACACTGTCCCACACATAACATGTTATGAGGGCCCTGTCCTAGGAAGAGGAGTTTGCAAGAAGAACACCAGGAAGATGGCATTGGCCAGAGACATTCACGAGAGCCTTGCCACACCCACACCTCCATTCCCCATAAAAAAATAAGAGATGGGGGCCGGGCGCGGTGGCTCAAGCCTATAATCCCAGCACTTTGGGAGGTGGAGGTAGGCAGATCACCTGAGGTCAGGAGTTTGAGATCAGCCTGACCAACATGGAGAAACCCTGTCTCCACTAAAAATACAAAAAAATTAGCCGGGCATGGTGGTGCATGCCTGTAATCCCAGCTACTCAGGAGGCTGAGGCAGGAGAATCACTTGAACCCAGGAGGTGGAGATTGCAGTGAGCTGAGATCACGCCATTGCACTACAGCCTGGGCAACAAGAGTGAAACTCCGTGTCAAAAAAAAAAAACTGACAGTTCGGTCCTGCCCTGCTTCCATGACTTGAGGGATTGCAGAGATGCTGCAGAACACAGCAGGCATGGCCACCCTATCCTTTCATTGCCTCAATGTATTTGATCTCTTTGCAACTGCTGGCTTCAACACTAGCTTTTAATTTGGTGATCGGCGAAGAACTTTGACAATTCAGTTGGAAGCTGTGTGCCCATGTCATCTGTGTCTTCTGGGTTCGTTCTTTCATGTCCATATTCATGTTGTGCATCTATGCCTGTGCAAGCTCAGTAGGATGTTGTGGTGATCTCTGTCACAAGAAAGCCACCTCTACACCTTGCATGACATTCAAGAGCCAGGAACATAGGCACTCAGTGAAAAATCTCAAGCCTCATGGCATTTTTAGCCAAGTGTTATCTGCTGCCTGGGTGTTAACTCCAAATTTCCATCCTGCTTGCAAGCTGATAATCGTTTACATCTGCAGCTAGGGGTGGGCGCTTGAGGATAGGGAGGGACAGTTCCTCGGGCACCAAAGAGGTTTAATGTGTTGTTCTTACGTGGTGCATTGAGTTCCAATCCGTAGCTTGGAATTGAGAATGCTCTAAATTTTCATCACTGTTGGCCGGACACGGTGGCTCAAGCCCGTAATCCCAGCCCTTTGGGAGGCCGAGGCGGGCAGATCACGAGGTCAGGAGATCGAGACCATCCTGGGTAACACGGTGAAACCCCGTCTCTACTTTAAAAAAAAAAAAAGCACAGAAAACTAGCCGGGCGTGGTGGTGGGCGCCTGTAGTCCCAGATGCTCGGGAGGCTGAGGCAGGAGAATGGCGTAAACCCGGGAGGCAGAGCTTGCAGTAAGCTAAGATCCGGCCACTGCACTCCAGCCTGGGCAACAGAGCGAGACTCTGTCTCAAAAAAAATTTTCATCACTGTGTTTAAAATAGAATGAACTGCCCCCAGATCGCACGCATGGTCTATGATGTCAGAGTGTACTTGACACCCACTCAGTTAAGGAGCTAATAATACCTATCCCAGAGGATTAAAGGAGATCGCTAACGGGGTGGGAGCCTGGGACCCTTGCACCTGCTGCTTGCGCACCTCTTACTCCTGGAAGAGGCTGTGGCCAGCACAGAGTTTGTAGACTGCCTCTGGCTCCACTGCGCTTGCTCACACATGCCTCGGGCTGGGGCTGGGGGGCTGCATCTGCTTGTCGTGTTTTTCAAAGGCTTTAACACTTCAGGAGTTTGTTCATGTTTCCATATATGTTATTTTGGCCTGATTCCTATGTTTTTCTACAATGAAGATGTAAGAAAACTCAGACACCCAAGTCAAGAGATGGGACAGCCTCCCGCCCCAGGGGCCTTGGGGAGCGCCTTAGCTTCTCTCGGGGCTCTCTCTGTTCAGCCTGCAGAGCAGAGGTGGTCTATGAAACCACCTCCGCGGCAGCCCCAGGGTTTCTTTTTCACCCCAGGACTCTGGTTTAGGAAAGAGCTTTGCGGAAGGCAGTTGGTCGCTGGAGGAGTTCTAGTCAAATCTGTTGCCTTGGTCTTCCCCTCCATACTGGCCCTTTGTCCGGGATGTGCTGAGGAATGCAGCCCCTTACACCCGCTGCACTCAGCCGGCATCCCAGTCCCTTGGCAAGCAGGGGCCTCTTCTAGCTCTACGGATAGGTGGGGTTGCTCTGCGCCCCTGCACGGGTGGCTGCCCCATGACCCATTCCAGGGTGGGTCCTGTTCCTTCCTCACCCCGCGGCGTGCTCCTTGATGCCCTGACCCAGTCTCTCTCGCTGTCTTGTCTTAACAGCCTTGACATCGCCAATCGAGTACCAGAGGAACCACAGCGGGGGCGGCGGCGGCAGCGGGGGCAGCGGCGGGGGTGGGGGCAGCGGCGGCGGCGGGGCCCCCAGTGGCAGCAGCGGCCACAGTGGCGGCCCCGGCAGCTGCGGTGGTGCCCCCAGCACGAGCAGGAGCCGGCCCTCCCGGATCCCCCAGCCTGTCCGACACCACCCCCCCGTGCTGGTCTCCTCTGCAGCCTCGAGCCAGGCAGAGGCAGACAAGATGTCAGGTACGTCCACCCCCGGGCCCTCTCTGCCTACCCCCGGCGCGGCCCCCGAGGCCGGCCCCAGCGCGCCCGGCAGGCGGCCCCCCGGCGCGGACGCTGAGGGGTCCGAGCGAGAAGCGGAGCCGATCCCCAAGATGAAGGTGCTGGAGAGCCCCAGGAAATGCGCCGCGAACGCCTCGGGGCCGAGCCCAGACGCCCACGCCAAGGACGCGCGCGCAAGCTTGGGCGCCCTGCCGCTTGGGAAGCCCCGGCCTGGGGCCGCGTCACCGCTGAACTCGCCGCTCTCCAGCGCGGTCCCTTCTCCTCTCGGCAAGGAGCCCTTCCCCCCCAGCAGCCCCCTGCAGAAGGGGGGCTCCTTCTGGAGCTCCATCCCCGCCTCCCCCGCCAGCCGGCCCGGCTCCTTCACCTTCCCGGGGGACAGCGACTCCCTCCAGCGGCAGACACCCCGCCACGCGGCCCCCGGCAAGGACACTGACCGCATGAGCACGTGCTCGTCGGCCAGCGAGCAGTCCGTGCAGTCCACCCAGAGCAACGGGGTAAGCGCGTCGGGGGGCCCGCGCCCGCCCGCCCCCCTGCCTCTGTCCCGCCAGCTCCTCTAAACGCCGCCGCGGCTGTCCTCACTAACTCGGCTGCCCAGCGCTCTCCGCCGCCCGCTGCGGCCTCTACCCGGGACCGGGCTAACCCTCCTGCAGGCCGGCCCATGGCGCTACTAACTACTCCTTGCTTTGTTCGTGTCTTCTAATAAGAGCAAGCCGATCATTAACCTTCTCAACGCAGCGTCTTTTGGTTTCTTCCGTTTCCAACCAGCAGAATATCTTCTTGGAACTTTCTTTTTTAACCTCTGCCTTCCTCACGCACCTATTTTTTGGAGGGGTCCTTTTCCCTGCTCTCTACCTCCTGTTTAAATTGAAACCTGTACACTTTAAGCTTTTTGCTCATCGCTTGGTTTTGCTCTTTTATGCCTTAAATTATCTTTGCGGCATTTTTGACTCATCTGCTGGGGAAGACCATTCCCTCAAGAAAACTTCCAACAGCAACTCAAAGCAAACTAAGATGACAAAATGGGGGGAAAGAATCTGTCCACTGGGAACGCTTTACGTCACCGTGTTGCTCTGGAAGACAGAGACTGCTCTGGGGCACCTGGCGAGGCGGCTCTGCAGTGCAGGCTGGGGCCGGTCCCTGCGGCCTGCTGCGCTCTGGCCTCCTCTGGCCCATCACTCATGCTGCCGTCTCAAGCACAAGGGTTGCTGTGGTGGGTTTTCCCTCTGTTTCCTGCTTCCTCACTGCCCTACCCACCTGTTTCCTACAGGGCAGATGGCCTGGCCCGTAACACTTTCCTGAAGGCATGCGTGAGTGAATAGAACTGTTCTAATGAGTGTATGTTTGAACGCTTTATAAATTTTTAAATACATTTCTCTAAAAGGGTCTGTGTCTCTCTTTATATTAAAAAAAAATCTAGCTTTTGCATGTCTTTCTCTTTCCTCTGGACTTATTAATGCCTTAATTGGTTTGACTTGGTCTTATCCTTTCCTACTATTTTTTGTTATGTATTTTGTTAAACTCTATATTTAATTGGGGAAGAAATTAACAAATGGGTCTTAATACATTTATTTACAATTGAATGGCCGGGTAGGCATCCGCTGGCATGGCCACCATACTGTGTCCTGCAGAGCAAGGCGGCCTTTCAGTTAAGTTGGGCATGCTAGGTAGACAAGTATGCTAGGTGGGTGAGCACAGATTTGAGTCTGGTGGGGGGTGGTGGGGAGATGCAGTCAACCCGGTGACGGGCTATACCCATCAGCACTTAGTTGGATACTCAATATTCAGGTGTGGCCTTATAACTGTGACCCTCACTGAATCTGCCAGTTAGCATCTGGAGCTCATCATAGCCTGGACACATTCCCATTCAGCACAGGAGACTTCAGAGGCTGTGTTTCAAAATTAACACTTCAACTGCTCCAAGACAGGAGCCAATGCCAGTCTTCTCTGGACATTCATGAGAAGACATGAAAAATGGCCACACCCTGGCTCCATCCCGAATGCTCTCTCTGAGGCCAAGGCGCAGTCTGCAGAGGGCACATGTTCCCGCGAGCTTTAGGTTGGGAAAGTTGCCTTTGCTTTCTCTCTTCCTCTTCCCACTTGTTCTCATGTGGCAGGGAACCTGGAAAGGGAACTCACTGAACAGGATTTCAGACAAGTCAAAATGCCTTACAGAAAGGCCCTAGAGGCCTAGGAAGACTCCAGAGCTCCGAAGTGGGGCTTTAAAAATGCCCTCCAGGCTGGGCACAGTGGCTCACACCTGTAATCCCAGCGCTTTGGGAGGCTGAGACGGGTGGATCACAAGGTCAGGAGTTCGAGGCCAGCATGATGAAACCCCATCTCTACTAAAAATAAAAAAATACTGGCCCAGCATGGTGGCACGCACCTGTAGTCCCAGCTACTTGGGAGACTGAGGCAGGAGAATTGCTTGAACTCGGAAGATCACACCATTGCACTCCAGCCTGGATGACAGAGGGAGACTCCGTCTCAAAAAAAAAAAAAAAAAAAAGCCCTCCAGGACTCTGAAGTATATCAGTTAGAAGGGGCCGCAGCCCTGCCCGGCCCCTACGTATTGGCACTTCTGTCCCCCTGGAGATCTGCAAAGGCCTCCTTCCTCCTTGACCACTTCTGTCAAGCTGTCTGTGGTCACAGTCAAGCAGCTGTGCCCAGCCCACAGCCCGGCTCCTTCTTCTCCCTTTAGATGTGCAGCTTCTGCAAAGCTCTGCTGAGAGCAGGAGTGACATGCATGTGGATCAACCCAAACCATGACTGCACCAGTCCTTCCTGTGGCTCTGTGGTCTAGCCTTTTGGCCTCCTTTATTGGGCAGCAATAAAAGTGCACACACATTGGAGTCACTCTAGTCCTGCCTTTCTTGCACAGGCCAGGTGGCCAGTGCCAGCTCACTGACCTTCCACTCTGAGAGACTGATAACCACGCCCACTGGGGGGGTTGTTGTTGGAATTAAGTAGGATAGACTTTGAAATGCCTAGTACATAGGAGTTGCTCAGAAAATACTAATAGTTATGATTCTAGTAGCAAAATACTCTAATTATGAGATTGTAGCTTGGTATATTACCAAAAGCAGGTACGCTGCAGAAGTTGTGTTTTTTTTTTAAATATTCTTGGAAATTTAGCTTTGTAATGTCAAAACTCTTGAGCATTGCCATATAAGTCAGAATACTAAAGTCCATGCTAAAAGTATAATGCATAAATGAGTATGCACAAGCCAAAGCCTGCCCTGTACAGCATCCTTTTTTGCTGAGGGGCCACAGGCAACCAGTGGGCACCCACAGGGACAAGAACAGGAAGCAGACTCCTCCACGGCAGAGACAAGGAACAGGAGCTAGGCAGCACCACCATGTTTCAAGTATGCACCACAGGTCTAGATTCATAGCCCTGGCACCTGGAATTCCCAGTGGCTGGCGTGTTGACTTTCTCAGGCTTGACCTCGTGGAGGAGGGCTAGAGGTCTCTCCTCTCTGGTCCTCTCGGCCAGCTACAGCAGTCCACCACCTGCTCCAGCATGTCCTGATACTGGCTCAGTAGACCAGGGCTGAAAGGTGGTAGAGCAGGGTTGTCTGACTGATTGCATCTGCACTCACCCGGGATCTGCCCAGGGCGTCGGAGAGCCCAGTAGAAGCTAGCACCTTTGGAGTCTTGGGAATCCATGAACATCCCGACAGTACCCTCAGTGGAAGCCTTTGAGCACAAGTTCACGGGAACGAGGCGCCAGATGCTGTTTCTCACGTCCTGACTAGATAGAGGGGACTTGGGCAAGATGCAGCTTCAGGAGTTGTCAGGGGATCTGCATTTCTTCTCCACCCAGAACCATAGGCCACGCACTAGTTGGGAGTTTGGGACAAACACTGCCGTTTGTGTTTCTTCTCCTCAGCAGCTGCCACCACTCTGTGTGTGGCATGGGTAGGGTCTTAAGAAATCTTCTGTCTTGCTATTGCAATCCTGCCTCATGGACTGGGCCACTCACCACATACTGAGTTCCTGCTGCATGTCAGCCCTGTGACTGAAGAGATCGGGTCCCACGGGGGCAGCGGCATAAGGGTAGGGGTACACATCCCACACCAGAATCCGTTCCCAGAGCTTGAGTCACAGCACCTGTGGCGAGCGGCCCTGCGATGTTTTGTGATGTGTTCCCATAGCAGCAGAGCCTTGGGGACACTTGAGTCATGCAAGCTCCTAAGAGGGACACCCAGCAAGTTCATACGCTGGAGGCAGAGTCACTCTCCATCCAAGCAGAATAGTGATCGATTTACGTTCAGGGTTTCCATGTTCTTCTTTTTAAAGAGAAGAAGTAGAAATGATTAAGCATGTCAGCAACGAGCTTCCAAAACCAAAGAGTCATTATTGCAGTGAATTTTTTAAGAGCATCCCTAAATTGCTTTGTAGAGAAATCGCATTTTCAGGTATTGAAATAGATGCACACAGTTAGCCAGAGGGTAAAGGAAACGTTGAAAGTTTCTCAGTGCCGGCCTGGTGAGCCCTGCACAGGGTCATGGTGCCATGGGGCACACTGACAAGGGATTTCACGTGATCAGGTCTCGTTTCAGTTCCTCCCTGCCTTTCTCTGTCTTCCTCTGTCCCTCTGCAGAGTGAAAGCAGCAGCAGTAGCAACATCTCCACCATGTTGGTGACACACGATTACACGGCAGTGAAGGAGGATGAGATCAACGTCTACCAAGGAGAGGTCGTTCAAATTCTGGCCAGCAACCAGCAGAACATGTTTCTGGTGTTCCGAGCCGCCACTGACCAGTGCCCCGCAGCCGAGGGCTGGATTCCGGGCTTTGTCCTGGGCCACACCAGTGCGGTCATCGTGGAGAACCCCGACGGGACTCTCAAGTGAGTGCTTGACAGTAACGGTGGCCTGGCAGGCAGCAGAGGGAGGGGGCGCAGCGCCCATGAGGCACACGATCTCGGATGGGGTAAGCATGTGGAAGGGGGAGCCGCGCTGGTGTGTTAGTACAGGCTCAGCTCTGAGCACGTGGGAAGATGGGTGGCCTTCCATCTCACACACTCAGACTCACAGGGTCTTTGAATAATCTGCATTTAGAAATAGCCTGTTCTAGCACATTGTTCAGGAATCCCATTTGACAGCTTTTTGTGTTAGTCATAACTCAAGAAAGTGTTGTTTTTCTTTTTAAGAAACCTAAAGGGAAAATATCCCCTATCTTTGTTTCTCTGAAATACATTCTCAGGCCCCATATTAGTCGGGGTCCTTCAGAGGAGCAGGATCAGTAGGGAGTGTACTGAGATGTCGGCGTAGACACAGGCTCACCCCGGTTTTTTGTGTGCTTTGCTTTAATGTGCTTTGAAGACATTGCCTTTTTTACGCAAGTTTTGTGGCAACCCTATGTCAAGCAAGTCTCTCGGTGCCATTGTCCAACAGTGTATGCTCACACTCTGTATTTGTGTCACATTTTGGTGATTCTCAGATATTTCACACATTTTGTTATTGTATTTGTTATGGTGATACGTAGTTAGTGATGTTTGATATTACCATTATAATTGTATTGAGGAACAATGAACTGCACACATACAAGATGGCAAACGTAATAAATGTGTGTTCTGACTGCTCCAGCAACTGTCCATTCCCCCATGTGTCTCCCTCTCCTCAGGCCTGCCTGAGACACAACAATATCGATATTAGACCAGTTAATAACCCTGCAGTGGCCCCTAAATGTTCAAGTGAAAGAGTATTGTGTCTCTCACTTTAAGTCAAAACCCAGAAGCTTAGTGAGGAAGGCATGTCAAAAGTGAATATAGGCCGAAAGCTAAGCCTCTTGCACCAAACAGTTAGCTAAATTGTGAATGCAAAGGAAATAAAAGTGCGACCCCACTAAACACACAAATAGTAAGAAGGTGAAACAGCCTTTGCTGAGACAGAAAAAGTTTGAGTGGTCTGGATAGAAGATCAAACCAGCCACAACCTTGCCTTAAGCCAAAGCCCAACCCAGAACAAGGCCCCATCTCTCTCCAGTTCTATAACGACTGAGAGAGATGAGGAAACTGCAGAAGAAAAGTTGCAAACTAGCAGAGGTTGATTCATGAGGTGTAAGGAAAACTAATGCTGTAACATAAAAGGGTTAGGGCTAATGCAGCTGGTGACGTGAAGTTGAATCCAGTGCGCATTTACCCTTCTGAAAATCCTGGGGTCCTTAAGAATCATGCTAATCATCACACCTTATATACCAAAAGGCTAATTCAGTTAAGAAACATGAAGCCGGTTTTGCTGCATTGAGTAGTATTTTACTGAATTTGATGGTGGTTTTTACAACTCTTCCTCCCCCTGGAATGCCTGCTGTGGCAGAGGCACCTACTCTGCCTGTGCTCTAGAAATGAAACAACAGAGCCTGGCTGACAGCACATCTGTACACCATGTATTTACAACACAGTTTACTGAGTATTTTAAGCGCACTGTCGACACGTACTGCTCAGAAACAAAAATTCTTTCAAAATATTACTGTTCTTTGACAATGCACCCGATCACCCAAGAGCTCTGATGGAAATGTGCAAGGAGATTCATGTTCCTTTCTTGCCTGCTAAGGACAAGTCGCTTGTGGTAGCGCCAATGGCTTCAAGTTAGTAAATGTCGGACTTCAATGTCGCGTATTTTAGAATATTGCTTGCCGGCGTGTTTGGGCTCAAGCTGTGATCCAGCCATTTTGGATGGCCGAGACGGCGGATCACGGCCCGAGGGATCGAGCGCCATCCTGGCTAACACAGTGAAACCCCGGTCTTTCTAGTAAAAAAATACAAAAAAAACACTTGCCGGCGATGTGCGGGTGCTGTATGTCCCCAGTACCGGAGGTGAGGCAGGGAGAAATGGCGTAGAAGCCGGCCACTGCACTCCCAGCCTGGGCGGACCAGATTCTAGACTTCGTCTCAAAAAAGAAAAAAAAAAAAAAAAAATGCGTTTTTGGGCTGGGCATGCTGGCTACGCGCTGTCATCCCAGCACTTTTGGGAGGCAAGGCGACAGATTCACGCTGGAGGTTCGGAGTTCGGAGATCCAGTCCTGGACCAGTAGGTGGAAACCCTGCTCTCTACTAAAATACAAAAAATTAGCTGGGTGTGGTGGATGTGCTGGTGTATCCAGCTTACGTTTGGAGGCTTGAGACAGAGGAATGGCCTGGAACGCCGGGAAGTGGTATGGTTTCATTTGGAGGCCTAGATCTATGCCCTGCACTCCAGGCCTCGGGCAACAGAGCAAGACTTGGTCTCCAAAAAAAAAGAAAGAAAAAGAAATACATAAATACATTTTGTAATGCCATAGCTAACATAGGCAGTGATGCCTCCAGTGGATCTGGGCAAAGTAAACTGAAAACCTTCTGGAGAGGAGTCACCATTCCAGATGTCATGGAGAACACTCATGAGTCATGGGAGGAGGTCAGAATGTTATAATTAACAGTAGTTTGGAAGAAGTTGATTTCAACTCTCATGGATGGCTTTGAAGGTTTTAAGACTTCAGTGAAGGAAATAACTCAGATGTGGCAGAAACAGCAAGAAAAATAGGATCAGGAGTGGAGCCTGAAAATGTGGCTTGAAGAGCTTCAATCTCATCATCAAACTTGAACAGATGTGGAGCTGCTTCTTAGGGGTGAGCGAAGAAAGTGATCTCCTGAGATGGAATCTACTCCTGGTGAAAAGGCTGTGAACACTGTTGAAATGCTGGCAAAGAATTTAGAATGTTACATAAACTTAGTTGATAATACAACAGCAGGGTTTGAAAGGATTGATTCCAATTTCCAGAGAAGTTCTACTCTGGGTATAATGCGGTCAGTGTCACATGCTGCAGGGAAGTCTTTTGTAACAAGGGGAGTGGTGGCAAACTTCTTGTTGTCTTACCTTAAGAAATTGCCACAGCCAGGCCGGGCGCAGTGGCTCATACCTGTAATCCCAGCATGTTTGGAGGCTGAGGCGGGTGGATCATAAGGTCAGGAGTTTGCGACCAGCCTGGCCAACATAGTGAAACCCCATCTCTACTAAAACTACAATAAAAAAAATTTTTTTAAAGAAAAAAAGAAAAGATAAAGGCTGGACATGGTGGCTCAAGCTTGTAATCCCAGCACTTTGGGAGGCTAAGGTGGGCGGATGACGAGGTCAGGAGATCGAGACCATCCTGGCTAACACGGTGAAACCCCGTCTCTACTAAAACTACAAAAAAATTAGCTGGGCGTAGTGGCGGGCGCCTGTAGTCCCAACTACTTGGGAGGCTGAAGCAGGAGAATGGCATGAACCCACGAGGCAGAGCTTGCAGCGAGCCGAGATCGCGCCCTGCACTCCAGCCTGGGTGACTCAGCGAAACTCTGTCTCAAAAAAAAAAAAAGAAAAAAAGAAATTGCCACAGCCACCCAGCCTTCAGCAACTACCACCTCGATCAGTCAGCAGCCGTCAGCATCTAGGCAAGACCCTCCACGGGCAGAAATATTACGACTCACTGATGGCTCGGATGATAGCATTTTTTTTTAGCAAATAAAGTGTTTTTAATTAAGGTGTGTATATTTTTTAGACATAATACTGTTGCACACATAATAGACTCTACTATAGTATAAACAATTTTTATATGCACTAAGAATCCAAAAATTGATGTGGCTGACTTTATTGTGACTCAGTTTATTGTGGTAGTCTGGAACCGAATCCCTAGTATCTCTAAGGTATGCCTGTCCAGAAATGGATTTATGATAAGAAATTCGCTCACGTAGTTATGGAGACTGGCAAGTCCAAATCTGCAATGTGGACCAGCAGGCTTCAGACCCAGGAGAGCACGTGGTGCAGGCTGAGCCTGAAGACAGTCTGCTGGAGAACGCCCTCTTGCTTGGGAGACCAGACTTTTTGTGTTCCCTTAAAGTCTTTGATAGGATGAGGGCCATTCACCTTAGAAAGGGCACTTTCCTTTACTGGACCCATCCAAATGTTCATCTCATTCAGAAACACTCACAAGAGGACCCAGAATAACGTTTGAACCAATATCTAGGCATCCTGTGACCCAGTCAAGTTACACATAAAATCAGTTATCACAGGCACCTTTATATTTTCATCCTCAAACTTGAAGAGATTGTTGGTTTTATCTCCTGGTTCTGGAGAATCACAGGAGCATTTTCTCTAACAGAGGTCACTGTTCGTAGAGGATTTCCCATCCCCGTGCACACATATAAGTTGAATATTCCGCTTTTCTTTAACACTTCCAGGTAACACTTGGTGAATGTTGGAAAGGCGTAATACCCACAATGTGTTCTTTTCCCCTAGGAAGTCAACATCTTGGCACACAGCACTCCGTTTAAGGAAAAAATCTGAGAAAAAAGATAAAGACGGCAAAAGGGAAGGCAAGTTAGAGAACGGTTATAGGAAGTCACGGGAAGGACTCAGCAACAAGGTATCTGTGAAGGTGTGTTCGGGGGTCTTAAGGAGCCCGTGTCATCCCAGCATGAGAGAAGGGATCAGGGAGGGCAGAGACTCTGCAGACCTGAAGCTGGGCTTGCTTATGACCTCCCTCCCACCCACCAGCCCTGTGCCCTGTGTGTCCTGTAGGGTCTTGTTAGGGGCACTACGCTGGCCGGCACAGGGATGGGTGAGTCCTACAAGGAACCAGGTAGACCCCTGCACACTTCTGCAGGTACACCTGTGGCTTATAAAGAACGTGGTTAGGTTTGCAAATGAAGCACAGAGACTAGCTTCTCAGAAACAGCGGAGATGCAGAGAAGCTATGGCTCAGGCTTCCTTCAGTGTTCCTGCCTTAGAGCAGAGGGGAAGTGGCTAGATGTGGGGGCGCATATGGGCTCCCCGGCTGTGACAGATTCCCCTGGGGACAACTTCAGTCATCTTGAGTCCTGTAATCAGATTGCCTGACACCTGCGGCAGGGGTTGCCTGGAGAAAAAGAAGGTATCTCCTGAAAGGGACTCTGAGCGCCAGGAGCCAGGGCGTTGGTGGCTCTGCATTAGGAAGGCATCTGAGGACCAGCCGGACTCAGCCTGTAGCATGAGAAAAACACACGTCTAAGCAGTGTTTTTGTGTTTGTGGGTAGGAAGAAAAAGACCCACCCAAATTAGTGTGCATGAAGCTTTTGAGTGCAGTGAAAAATGTGGTCTGTTTTGATTGATGCCCAGGCAAGTCCATTTCTACAAGTCTTTCAACAATAATTGTAGCCCTGGAATGAAAGTAATACACCTTAAAGTAGCTGATTTCAGTTAATGCTTGTTTGCTGTTTCCATTTCAGCTTCTCAATCCCAACTACATTTATGACGGTGAGTTCTGTTCTTTTTCTTGTAGTCGTAGAGATGATTCTAGATCTATGGGGCATGTTTCAGAGTACTTGCGTGTGGCCTCTGGAAATGGGTTTTCCGTGGTGCTCTAGGCGTGCAGAGCAGGTTAGGTCCCATCAGTCTGTCGGGGACATGTGGGTGGGTGTGGAGGAGAAGCCAGGACTGATGGGCCTTTACCAACTCCTTTCCCGTGCAGTTCCCCCAGAATTCGTCATTCCATTGAGTGAGGTCACGTGTGAGACAGGGGAGACCGTTGTTCTTAGATGTCGAGTCTGTGGCCGCCCCAAAGCCTCAATTACCTGGAAGGGCCCTGAACACAACACCTTGAACAACGATGGTCACTACAGCATCTCCTACAGGTGAGGGAGGCCCACTCCTGGTGGGTTTCGCTGGCTGGGAGCACCATCTTGTCTCTTGGCAACTGGAAATTCCTCCTTCACGGATAGATTTCTTTGGCCGCCTTCGGCACTCCACTTCTTCCCTGAGAGCACATTTCACGCCTGGGTGTACAGCTCCTCATCAGCACTTGAGCTCCTGCCTTCCCTTGATCCTGAAGGAGGAGGCCAGCGCTGATGGCCACATGCTCAGCTTTTCTCACGCCCAGTGTGTTCCCATCTGTGCCGCAGTGACCTGGGAGAGGCCACTCTGAAGATTGTGGGCGTGACCACGGAAGATGACGGCATCTACACGTGCATCGCTGTCAATGACATGGGTTCAGCCTCATCGTCGGCCAGCCTGAGGGTCCTAGGTAAGCACCGTGCTACGAGGAGTCTACGTGACCCAGTGGGGCACGTCTTCCAGGAGTCTCCGGAAGTCCTGAGTCTGCCCTCGCACTCCATGTGGCCTGACAGATAGAACAATAAGTCATCTGTGGGGCTTCAAAAGAGAATTGGAAGTAGCAGACCAAAGTGTCTGGGGTGGCACAGCAGAGTGACCTCTCGGCACCTTATGTAAGGTCGGGGGAGACACCAGAGCTCCTGTTGCTGGGAGGAGGATGGGGGCCTGGCTAGTGAAGGCCTCTGGCTGCCTACCATGGGGCACCAGGGCCCCCCCCGCCCGACCAGCCTCTGAGTTGGGGCAGGCTGCTTTCCGTGCTCTTAGTACTCAAAACGCTCAGATCCAGCTACTCAGCTGAATCTGGATCTGGTCTAGGTTGGTCTCACGTAGAATGGGCATGGGAAAAGCAGGAAAGGAGATGTGGGTGGGTCCCGGGCCTGCGCAGGCACTGTGGCCCTCTGAGACCCTAACAGCAACCCTTCTGGGTGGATGCGCCCCCTCCTTACCCTGTCCAGGAGGAACCAGGCCCAGGGCTGCTCAGCAGCTTGTCCAGAGCATCTGGCTAGGAGGCCTCTGCCGTGGGGCCTGCTTGCTCTGGTCTGAAGACCTTGTTCTCTCTCCTCAGCTAAACCGCAAGCTCCTTGGGGCAGAACCCATATCTTAGGCCCTTTCAAAATGCTCTGTAGTTGCCTGATGTAGATAGCTGCTGAGAAAGCCGTGGACTGCTCTCTGCTGCCATCTTGTGGAAGGCCGGCCGTGCAGTACTGGGCTCTGAGGGTTCCCGTCCATCCTCCAGCTGCACCACAAATGGAGCTGCTTCCAGAGGACAAATCAAACCCCAAATAAAAGATCGATTGAGTCCCAGAGCACCCTGTGTGTAGACAGTAAGCAGAATTTGTCTTAGAACTTTTGTCCCAGGTATCTTAATTTCCTGTTTTTAACAACATTAAATCAGAAAACAAGTTCTGATTTTTTTGGATCATGGAACAAGAAATTTTAAAATCTAGAATTTGGCAGTAAATAATAAAAAGTAAAGATTTTCTAATTTTTAAATAACACAGAAATTACACAGGTGATTTTTTTTTTTTTAATAAATCACTAGCAAAAGCTAAAGGACTGTAGAAAGGTAGACTATTCAGCCAGGCGTGGTGGCTCTCGCCTGTAACCAGCACTTGGGGAGGCCGAGGTGAGTGGATCACGAGGTCAGGAGATAGAGACCATCCTGGTTAACATGGTGAAACCCCATCTCTACTAAAAATACAAAAATTTAGCCAGCATGGTTGCACACTCCTGTAGTCGCAGCTACTCGTGAGTCTGAGGCAGGAGAATCACTTGAACCCAGGAGGCAGAGGTTGCAGTGAGCCAAGATCATGCCACTGCGCTCCAGCCTGGGTGACAGAGTGACACTCTGTCTCAAAAAAAAAAAAAAATAAGACTTCATACCCTGGAAATGCAAATGGGAAAATAATCCAAGTATATGGTTAATTCTGTCACACAAATTCAGCTGCAACCGTAGGTTTTCAGAAGAATTATGTGGACTATTCCAAGATGATCTTAACTATTTCCAGTTGTTCTCTGAGAGAAGCCACTTTGTTTGCAGGCATCAGTAATTTTGTGTTTTGTTTTAAATCTACCCATGGCTCCACTCCTGTCCGCCTGAGGCTATTCCTGCCCCCACAAGCTGGGGTGGGTGCCCTCATTCTGTCCAGCCTTGGCTGCCTTGCAGAGCCCCAGTTCTCAGATGCTCAGGAAACAAAGGCTTCTTCTAAGCCCAGCTCCGGCTCAAGGCAGGGAGCTGGTCAGAGTCTGGGCTACGAGAGGGAGTCCTGAGGCTGGAGGCATTGGCTCTGCACCCTGAGGACATGTGCAGGCCCCCAAACTGTGTCCAAGAGAATCATCCAGAGAGCGCCCTGTCATGCCACCAGCCAGGGCCGAAGCTTCTGTTGATGAGAAAAGGGTACCAGGGGCAGTGGCTCATGCCTCTAATCCCAGCACTTTGGGAGGCCGAGGCGGGTAGATGGCTTGAGCCCAGGAGTTGGAGACCAGCAACGTGGCAAAACCCCATCTCTACAAGAATACAAAAAATTAGCTGAGTGTGTGTCCCACTACTCTAGAGGCTGAGGTGGGAGGATCACTTGCCACTGGGAGGTTGAGGTTGCAGTGAGCTGAGATTGCACCACTGCACTCCAGCCTGGGTGACAGAGCAAGACCCAGCCTCAAAAAAAAAAAAAGAAAAAAAAAACAAAAACCAGGGAGAAAGGAAGGTGTGTTTTAGAGGAGCCGGGGAGCACCTGCCACTGTGGTGCTCTGTCTCTGGATCTAGTTAGTGGGCACCGAGTTGCCATTTATGTTTGGTCCATTTTTCTATATATATGTAATGCTCGAATAAAAATGTTTATTTAAAAAAGACAAGCCCTTTCAGTTAAAAAAAAGAAGAAAAAATACTTTTATGTAAATAATAGTCCAGTATTTTTTAATGTGATTTGTTAGATGCTTCAAATCTGCCTAGTGAAAGAATTTTATTTTGATTAATGATTCTCTATCAGTACTCCTTCACCTACACAGTCAGAATTAGCCTTACCATTTCTAAAGCACTTTAAAGGGGTGCAAATGTGCCAGCATTAACTAAAAAGACTGCAGAATGAAACGTAGCCTTTGGTTTGCGTGATTGAAGTGACTGTTGCTTCTCGTGTGTCCTTCGGTGAAGATTTGGGGCTTTGTGTGTGCCAGGCACTCTTCTGGTTTCTGGGAGGCTGCAAAGGTGGATCAGACATGGGTTCACTTATAGTCATGTAGCGGTCAGCAGCGCTCCTGTGACAGCAGTGCTGGCTGGCAGCACATGGCACCCACCGGGACTGCCCACTGCTATGCAAGGAGACGATTTCCAGCCATGAGTGAGTCAGGGAAGGCATGTGGAGGAGGTGGCCGCCACCCCGAGGAGCCTGATTAGACAAGTCAGCTTGGACATGGTTTAAGGAAACACATTCCCAGTGATAACCTGGGGAGAGGTGAAGAAGCCCAGGTGAGGATAGGGGTGGACAGATGCTCAGCCTGGGCTGGACTGCAGGTCAGGTGAGCGGGCTGAAAGAGGAACTAAGTGGGGAGCGGAGGCTGGATGAGCCGGGTCAGGAGGGCCAGCCTCCCATGGAGGCTTAGAATCACAGTGGCAGCTGTGCTTCCCAGGGGCTGCCTGGCAGTGGGGCCACGTGGGGCTCCCCCACTTAGCGCTTCTTTTCACAGGAAGACTCTAGAAAGGATGCTTTCTGTTCCTGTGGACGTGTACACAGGATTCATTACTAACAGGTGATTTACAGTTGGCACTTTCCTAATAAAATTCTCTTTGTAGTGTATTTATGATTTATTAACCATGTAAAACTCTGTGAACGTTAAGTGAATACTGTGGACTCTTGATCTCTCATGGCTGTGAAAGGAGGCGTGGGGAGGAGAGAACAGCCTAGCCCTGAGGCAGTGCGGCCAGGTGAACAGGGAGGACCATCTGTAGCAGTGCTGTCCAATAGAAGCAAAAAGAGGCCACATGTGCAAGTTTAGATTTTTCTAGTAAACACATTTTAAAAATAAAAGTAAAAGCAGCTTTTACTAACATGTATTTAATTTGAAAAATTATTAGTGAAATATTTTGCATTCTTCCTTCACACTAAGCCCCAGTGTCTGTGTCCTTCATGCACCCACCACATCTCCACTCATGTGAGCCATGTGGCAGGTGCCGGGGGGCCATGTGCAGCTGCTGTGAGGGGCAGTGCGTGGCGATAGCCTTCTTACCCAAGAAGCTCCACGGGAAACAAGTTCAGGCAGGTGCTGTTCTTCTTGCAGGTCCAGGGATGGATGGGATCATGGTGACCTGGAAAGACAACTTTGACTCCTTCTACAGTGAAGTGGCTGAGCTTGGCAGGTATGAGGTACAACCCAGAATGCCTTCCGAAAGGGTAGAGCGCAGGGAAGACATACCAGAGAGTGCGCGGATTAAAGCTAAGCCACGTTATCTTGCCAGCAGTTGGAAGCTGTGTGTCTTGCATTTGAATCGTAACTCTCATTGCCTTTAGATGCTAAACACTGGGGAAGTAAGGAAGCCGTTTTCCACTCAGGTTCCAGCAGAGAGGCCGAATGCCACAAGCCACCCCTCGATGGGGAGGAGTTGCTTCCCTCTGTGCATGTAGGATAGTGGTAGCTCTGTGCCATCCTTGGGAGAGTTCAGGAGGCTTTCAAATGCTCCCTGTAGTTCTTAATCCTCTTGTGTCCTTCACGTTTCGCTTGTGCGTGGAGACTTCAAGGAGTGACAGTAAAATCAGATGGGGTATCAGCATCCTCCTGCACAAACTAAGAGAGAGGTTTCCCATCTAGGGGGCTCTTTCTCTTCATGAGGGGCAGCCGAGCCAGGGGTGGCCCAGCAGTGCCATCAGACAGCCCGGCTCCTCTTGGCTCTGCCTCCAGGGCCACACAGCACACATATCCAGGTGCTGTGTCCCATGTGGCAGGAAGAGCAGGGTCAAAGGAGCATGACCGCTTTCCTTCGTCCTTTTGTAAGAACTCCCCCAGAAACTCCAGCAGCAGCGCCCTCTGGCTTCCATTCCTGAGGCCGTAACTGGTCACGTGGCTCCTGCTGACGTCTCTGTCAGCTGTCTCTGGTTGCATAAAAAGTCACACCAGCACATGCTGTCTTAGGACAGTGGTGACATGCGCCTTCTTCTGGTGCGGTATGCAGATGGGGCCGTTACTTTGTTGGCCCCTCCTGGCCTGGTCAGCTGGTGCACCATGCCCCGTGCGTGTCAGAGGCCTTGTCTGCGACACTGGCCTCTCTCCACGTCGACTTTCACCCTGGGCCTCCCCACGTGAGGGCAGTGGCATTCCAGAACAGCAGGAGCGTCAAGGCCTCTGAAGGCGCAGCCTCAGAAATCAGCGACCAACGTCCTCCACACCCTGTGGGCCAGAGCCAGCCCCAGGCAGCCCTGATTCAAGGGGAGGAACAGCCCCCGCCTCCGAGTGAGAGACGTGTCAAAGCCATGGCCTTTAACCCTGTACACAGCCTGCCCACCACAGGCGCATCTCTGGTCCTCACGTGTGCAGAACGCACTCACCCACCTCAGGCCCCCATCTGAGGTCCAAAGCCTCATCCAGATCACGTTGAGGTGTGACCAGTCCCTGGAAGTGGATCATCAGGTACAGCTCCAGGGTCTTCGTGCCTGCCCCACACTCACACCCACAGGGGCGAGGCTGAGGCAGTGACCACAGCAGACGCTCCTTTCACACGTGCAGGGAAGGGTGGCTGACGGGAGGCGTGAGCAGACATCCCGGCTTCTGCACGTTGTGGGGAGCAGAGGGGAGCCACCTGGCAAGGCCGAGGCTCAGAGGTCTTCCCCTGTCACTTCTACCACACGCGGTGCTGGGAAGCAGCCACCAATGTGAGGAAACCAAGGCTGCCGGGGAGGGAGGACCAGCAGAATCGCGTGGCTGCGGGGACAAAGGCAGATTTGGGGGACGGCCATGGCACCACAGCTCCCCCGTGGAGTGGCCAGGAGAGCAGGGCCTCTGGACCGGACCGGGCCACCACACAGCCAGTCCATTTAGGATAACAGAGTCTTTCTCGGTGCCAGACCTCAGCAGCCTCTGCAAATGGTCTTCTTGACATATTTTACAGGGGCAGATTCTCTGTCGTTAAGAAATGTGATCAGAAAGGAACCAAGCGAGCAGTGGCCACTAAGTTTGTGAACAAGAAGTTGATGAAGCGCGACCAGGTCACCCATGAGCTTGGCATCCTGCAGAGCCTCCAGCATCCCCTGCTCGTCGGCCTCCTCGACACCTTCGAGACCCCCACCAGCTACGTCCTGGTCTTAGAAATGTGCGTACATACCTGGCCTTCCGCCCCCAGCTCTCTGCCGCCGCCTCAGGGTTTTGTTGTTGCCGTTTGTTCTCTAAGAGGGATAGGTATTGGGCTTTTAGAATTTACAGAACTAAAAAACATCTTCACTGTCACAGCCCACAGCTTTTGAGCCTTCCAGTAATGGCAGAAAGCAGTGTGGTCTTCACGGGGCAGCTGCCTGATGAAGGACAGTCACCCCTAGGGTGGAACGCCCGACACGCTCAGCCGCCCGGAGACGCCCTCCCATTTCTGAGGGTCCCGTGAGGCCAGGCTGTCTCTGGTGCTGAACCCAAGCCCCCATTAGTGGTTGGAGGCTGACCTGATACCCCTAGCCTGTGCAGGGGCAGCTCACCCCGGATCAGCGCCGCCCCTCAGGCCTCCTGCCAAGGGCAGGCCAGCTGGATGGGAGGGTAAGACGCACCTCCCTGCAGAATGTCCTCCACAGAGGGGGCGCGGGCACACGAACCAGAGCTGCCCCACTGGCACCGTTGTACTTACTGGGCTCCTTCATAAGATCAGAAAATGATTCAGTCACGTAAAGAAAAGTTGGAAACCTGTGTCCCTCAGGAGCTGTTCTCATGTAGGTGTGGGTTCGCATGGAAATGTCAGGAGAGCTCAAGCTGGGGGTGCGTCCGGCAGGGAGTGGCCGGAGGCCAGGGATGCCGCCCAACCTCCTACAAGGCAGGGACGACCCCCACAGATTCATCCGCCCCAAACGTCTGTGCATTTAGCTTTGAAAAATGTCGATTCCTCCTTTTTAGGGGGAGTCATTTTATACGTTTACTTTCATTTGCAACTTCTTTTCCATGGGGAAGGGTAAAACCTTTTGCCGCTGTTTGGAAAGTTTGCGTAGCTCTGCAGTGGAAGGACAGGATTAGCGGGGCACCCCCATGGGGTCATGCAGGGGCAGACTCCAGCTCGGGGCCCCTCGCCTGCAGGAGCTCCCTCCAGGCCCTGTACCTGATGTTGTAGTTATTGTCATTTTTTTCTTAAAGAAATTATGAATGCCTCCCCATACCCTTCCTAGGGCAAGGCTGCCACAGGGTCCCGTGTGGCCCCACATGCAGCCTTACCAGCTTCCTCGGGCAGCGCGTGTGCCGTGGGTGACACTGGATGTCTCAGGAAGGCCTCCCACCCATGGCTGCACAGCTAAAACCTCCCCCAGAACACGGGGATGGGGACCTGCTTCCAGCCCCTCTCCCAAGAATAGAAAACACATCTCGTGGCAGAAGGGCAGACGGTGGGGCGCACCTGAGCCTGAGCAGTGTGTACGGAGAGGAGGTCCACAGGCCTGGGCCTGGTCTCAGTCCCCGCCCTCCCTCCCATCGGCTCATTTCTCACCCTGGGTATCCTTAAAAGCGGCATTGGCTTCGGAGGGTTGGCATGGGGCCGACATGGTGCGATGTGTGTGGAAGAGCTGACGTCCAAGCCGAGGGCTGGCCTGGGAGCCTCGGGACCTGGGAGGTCTCCTCTCTGGCTCCAGACACTGGTGACCAACAGCCACTGCTCACCTTCCCCGGGGAGTTTTACCAAGACTGTGGCTTGAGCGCTTGTCATCAATCTACAAGGCCTTCGTTTCTGGACTGACATTTCAGTGCTTTCAGCCGTCATTTCTGGGAAACAACATGGTTTGGCCTCACCATCCTGTTCATAGGATCTGTTTTCATGACACATTACTCCAGTTCTCACAGGCTACTCCCCATTGCTAGACAGGCAGCTGATCTTCCTACAGATTTCTGTTTTGCAAAGAGCAGCATAGGCCGGTGTTGAGAGAGGCGGGGCCAGACCACCTCGGTCCAGTCCTGGCTTCTCCACCCTGGAGCGGTGGACCTTGGGCAAGTTTCATGCTTTCTCTGTGCCTGAGTTTCCTCATGTGTCACATGGGTACAGCAAGGCCCACTTCACTTCACAGACAGTCATAAGGATTAAATGAGTTGTTAGAAGGCGTTGAGCCCCTGGCACTTGGCAGTGCTGGGGAAGTGTTTTTTTAGCACGAACAGTAATTTCAGAGGAGGAAGCCTTCTGAGTCCAATGCTGAGCACTGACTGGGCCACCTCCTGCCCAGCCTGTGGTTACGTGATCTCAGTGAGTCTTCCCGTGGCCCATTTGACAGGTGAGGAAACTACAGCTCCGAGAAGCATGGTCTACATGCCTTCCTTCAGCAGATACCACAGGATGCCTGCTGTGCCTGGCACTGCCGGCAGCCAGGCCACACCATCCCCCGCAACAGGCGGGTTTGGACCCTTGACTGGGCCGCTCTACCCCTGGCTTCCCTCTTAAGATGGAGACACCATGTTCCCCACTCGTGTCTTCCCATCAGAGCTTCACAAAAATCCCCTCCTTGTCTGGGCACACCTTAGAGGCACAGCCCTGAGATCCTGATGACACATTCATAACAGGTGACAGATCTGACATGTTTACTTCTTACTAGCCCGAAGAGGTCTGGAAAGGAAAGCACGTCGTAACAGTCACCCGTTCCTGCCTCTGTAGGGCCGACCAGGGTCGCCTCCTGGACTGCGTGGTGCGATGGGGAAGCCTCACCGAAGGCAAGATCAGGGCACACCTGGGGGAGGTTCTGGAAGCTGTCCGGTACCTGCACAACTGCAGGATAGCACACCTGGACCTAAAGGTTGGTGAGGCCCCGGGCAGGTGAAGGGGGGTCCGAGCACACCGGCTTGGCCATGTGGGACACAGAGCCCCCTCTGAAGCCAGGCCAGGAGTGCCCGAGCGACTAGGGACGAAAAGGGTAGCGGGGGCAGCTGATTAGCACTGGTTGCTCATCTCTGTTTCTAAGCGTTTGCGCTCAGTGATGCACACAGTCAAGAGTACACTGGGTAAAACACTGGAGCCCTCCCAGCCTCCCACGACTTTCAGAAAGTCCCCATGAGTGTTGCCTGGTGGGTGTGGCGGGTGCAGTGGTAGCTTAGGCAGGAAAGAGAGTATTCCCTTCGGTGCTGGGAGGAAAATGAACAGCCAGCTTCAGAAAGCAGCCTGGTTTCATTAGGCTACTTGGCCCTTAGATCGCCAGAAAGAGCTGCTCTGTGAACCTGGGTCCCAGCTCCGCTGGGCCATCTCTTCTTCCTCACCCTGGGTGGGCAGCTGAGGGTCTGGCCTGCTTTGCACATGCATGGCTTGTCCTAGTTGACATCATAGATTCCTTCCACCTCACCGCAGAGTCCCGCCCATCATCATGAGTAAGCTTAAGATTGGACTGGTCTGAAAATGACAGTTGTATTCTGTCTTCCAGCCTGAGAATATCTTGGTGGATGAGAGTTTAGCCAAGCCAACCATCAAACTGGCTGACTTTGGAGATGCTGTTCAACTCAACACGACCTACTACATCCACCAGTTACTGGGGAACCCTGAATTCGCAGCCCCTGAAATCATCCTCGGGAACCCTGTCTCCCTGACCTCAGATACGTGGAGTGTTGGAGTGCTCACATACGTACTTCTTAGTGGCGTGTCCCCCTTCCTGGACGACAGTGTGGAAGAGACCTGCCTGAACATTTGCCGCTTAGACTTTAGCTTCCCAGATGACTACTTTAAAGGAGTGAGCCAGAAGGCCAAGGAGTTCGTGTGCTTCCTCCTGCAGGAGGACCCCGCCAAGCGTCCCTCGGCTGCGCTGGCCCTCCAGGAGCAGTGGCTGCAGGCGGGCAACGGCAGAAGCACGGGCGTCCTCGACACGTCCAGACTGACTTCCTTCATTGAGCGGCGCAAACACCAGAATGATGTTCGACCTATCCGTAGCATTAAAAACTTTCTGCAGAGCAGGCTTCTGCCTAGAGTTTGACCTATCCAGAAGTTCTTTCTCATTCTCTTTCACCTGCCAATCAGCTGTTAATCTGAATTTTCAAGAGAAAAACAAGCAAATATAACTGATCAGCTGCCGGTATGTTCATCGTGTGAAATTGCATTCCAAGTGGGCTGTGCTCAGCAGTGCTTGGACACAGAGCTGCAAGCTGCGCTGGGGTGGAGGACCGTCACTTACACTCTGCCCAAGGCAGAGGTCGCATTGCTGTATCACAGTATTTTATTCAGGTTTCTGCAAAAAATAAAAAGATACTTTTTTAAACAAACATGAATAGAATTTTGCAAATTTAACGTTTTCAAGATTTATTCAAGGAAACAAAATGCCTATGTTCAACCACTGGTGTTAACGAACAAAGATACTGTGCGTCTCTGGGGAAGACGCACCCAGGTGGCGGCCACTCCCACGGCCTTGTCTAGGGCTCAGAGTCCACTCGACTCTGAGCTTCTCCAGGCGCCTCGTCTGTGTGCGTCTCACACCAGACGTGGCTTCTGAAACGTGCATTCAACCTCAAACTTTTACATAAAATAGAATGAATCGTTTTGCTCTGATGAAATGTAGGCCTTACTTGTATATAAGACTGTTCCTGCCTTCGGTCTGTGGTTTTCCCACCTGCCTCCCCTCCCCACCCCCCACCCACCGCCTGGGGCTTCCTCTGGGGGTCCGAGGCTATGCCCAGCAAATGAAGACATCAGGTTGGGTCCTGCCCCACTGCCCCTCCCCCTGTTCCTGCCCCAAGCCGTCAATCAGATTGTTGAGCAGTACACAGTCAGATGAAAATACTGTAAATGCACTCATTGGGGGTTTTTTGGTTTTACTTCATATCATGTGCAATGTTGTGGCTTTAACATTTTATGCAACTATTTATGAAGACCTCTGTTGTACCTGTAATAAATATATAGAAAAAGCACATACTTCGTATGGTGAGCTTTATGGTTTTGTGTGTGTGTTGGGGTTGGCGGGTGGGTGGGTAGGGTCGTAGCCCTGTGCCATCGGTTCAAGGAGACTTTTCGTGAAACTTGTTGGTTTTGAGGACTGTAAAAAGTGATTTCATACTCTGAATATAAAACTGGATAATAGGGTAATGTTTTAAAATTTATTATGCTATTATTCAGAATGCCAAAGTATTATTTTTTTTCCCAAAATCAGTCTGGACATTTACTACTTTTTAGACTTTTTGACTTTCAACTTTCTGTACAAAAATTGGCTGGGTTTTGAGCTTTTGGTAAGAAATAAAAGCTGATTAAGCACTGGCCGCCCCGCGGCTGGTACCCAATGCCCGAGTCACTGTGGCAGCATTCGCACTGGCGTGGGGAGTCCTTTGAACTCAAGGAGGCTGGGTTTCTGGGCACCCTTGAGGTTTTCTGGATGTCTTTTTATCTTTCTCGTGTGAACTGCACTACAAAAGAGACCAGCCCATTTCCCAAGCCAGCCAGACACCTGGGTCTTGAGCCATAAACTGGCGTAGTTAAGCTTTGCAGCTTCCAATGTATTTTATTTATTCTTTTGTTGGGTTTTTGTTGGTTCTTGTAAAATTGTACAGAAACTTTTTAAAAGAAATTGGATTCAAAACTGGATGTGTATTCGTAACCTCATGATTTTTATTTGTGTATTGTTTCTTTTATTTCAGTTAAATTTTTACATTATTTTGCATGTATATTTCTTTGTACAGAGACCTTACATGTTTACACAGTATGATGTGATGTAAATATTTTATTTTGCCATCAGTTATTTTAAAAAATTAAACATATTTGCCTGATTTTTGTGTTAGGCTTTTTATTTAAAGTGGTCACTGTTGAATCGGAAAGACAGATGGCTGAGGGAGAGACTGACGCAGAGGCTTCTCATGGGTGGGAGGTGGCAGAAGGTACTGGATTGAGAACCCTCTGTACACACTGAGAAATGGGAGTCGCTCAGCCTCCTGCAGACTGGTTCAGACACCACACTCGAGACCCTGGTATGCACCAGAATGTCGACTGCCTGTGCACAGCGAGGCTGTAGCTTGTCCTGGTTAGAATAAGCGAGGCTGTAGCTTGTCCTGGTTAGAATAAGCGAGGCTGTAGCTTGTCCTGGTTAAGAAATAAGCGAGGCTGTAGCTTGTCCTGGTTAGAATAAGCGAGGCTGTAGCTTGTCCTGGTTAGAATAAGCGAGGCTGTAGCTTGTCCTGGTTAGAATAACGAGGCTGTAGCTTGCTTGTTCTGGTTAGAATAAGCGACGCTGTAGCTTGCTTGTCCTGGTTAGAATAAGCGACGCTGTAGCTTGCTTGTCCTGGTTAGAATAAGCGAGGCTGTAGCTTGTCCTGGTTAGAATAACGAGGCTGTAGCTTGCTTGTCCTGGTTAGAATAAGCGAGGCTGTAGCTTGTCCTGGTTAGAATAAGCGAGGCTGTAGCTTGTCCTGGTTCGAATAAGCAAGGCTGTAGCTTGCTTGTCCTGGTTAGAATAAGCAAGGCTGTAGCTTGCTTGTCCTGGTTAGAATAAGCAAGGCTGTAGCTTGCTTGTCCTGGTTAGAATAGCTAAGGCACCCTGTCGCCTGATGAACTCAGAATTAGAGTGAGGGAAGAGCTCGTCCATCCTGGCCTCAGAAAAGCAAAGGTAACGTCCAGATAGATTGAAGAAAATGAAACAGTTTCATTTGGTTAAGAACAAAGATCCTGCAGCTAGGAGAAGGTTCCCCAGTAGTGCCTCGACCTCGGCCCTGAACCCACCCAGTCCGGGGGACTTGCAGCCAAGTGGCTTCCCCAGCTCTGCCAGCCTGGCTGCTGACAGTAGCTTATTTTTTCCAATGACCATATCTTCTCTCTTGATTCTTTCTGGCTTTCTTTCTGGGCTGATGACTTTTATTGTTCAACACAACATCGAGAACAAGTATTCTTTCTCATCTGTTTGCGGAAATCCTGAATAGAAGGCTGATGTGAAAGGACACTTGCGCAGTCTCTAAGTCAGGACACGGGAAGCTAACTCCCTGAGGTGTGTGCCCGCCCAAGTCCCAGCAGTACCCATGGCTCAGTGGGCTCTGGAGGGGGCGGAAATTCAAGGTTGGTTCTAATCTACCACCTGCCCAGCACAGCATCCTGCCCCAGGGGGAGTTGCCTGGCCCACCACAGTGCCACACCTTCTGAGCAACACAAAGGAGGCGAGGGGTATGTGGTGGTGTCCTTTAAATGGGACAGTTGCTGAATGGAGTGGTTCTGCCTGTAAGATTAGCAGAGCTCACTGTGCCCAGTGAAAGAGCCTCAGGCGTTTGGTCTGTCATGATCACTGGATTTTTTTTCTCAAATACCAAGGTGTTTTTCATTCTGCAAGTTACTGTAATCTTTTAAAAACTCGGATTCTCTTTAGCCCTAACAAGTGGGGGGAAATCAATGTTTTAGCAGAATTGTGAACCTCATAGTAAGCAATAATCTATTAGATGAGGTCTTTGCTTACTGTAGCTACACAGTAAGTCTTGAAAGCAAGTAGACATCCCCCCACTTTGTTTTTGTTTTTGTTTTCCAAATTGTTTCTGCTAATCTAGTTCCTTTGCCTTCATACATTTTGGAATAGCCTTGTTCATATCTACAAATATTAGACCATCTTAGACCACTAGAAGGGGAGGTACTTTCTCCTGTACATTTTCGAGACAATTGTAAAGAAAGGAGTAGGCCGGGCGCGGTGGCTCACGCCTGTAATCCCAGCACTTTGGGAGGCCGAGGCGGGCGGATCACAAGGTCAGGAGATCGAGACCACAGTGAAACCCCGTCTCTACTAAAAAATACAAAAAATTAGCCGGGCGCGGTGGCGGGCGCCTGTAGTCCCAGCTACTCAGGAGGCTGAGGCAGGAGAATGGCGTGAACCCAGGAGGCGGAGCTTGCAGTGAGCCGAGATCGCGCCACTGCACTCCAACCTGGGCGACAGCGTGAGACTCCGTCTCAAAAAAAAAAAAAAAAAAAAGAAAGGAGTAATTCTTGGAACTGATCGATTCTCCATATTATATTTATTTATGTGAGATTTAACTTACAGAAAATTACGCAAGTGAATAAATGTTTATGCATGTATATACCTGTGATCGCCACCCAAAGCAAACTATAGAATGTTTCTATTATCCATTTTCCCCCCCAGGAAGGTCTGTCTCACCCCTTCCCAGTCAATCTCTCCCTCCCGAGGTAATCACTCTTCTGATTTCTATCATTCATAGATATGTTTGCCTTTTAAGTAAAATCATATATTACGTACTTTTTAAAACTAGGTTGTACCTTTTATTTTGAGGCCATTATAGATTCACATCCAATTGTTATGAAATGTACCCTTAGGCTGGGCATGGTGGCTCACGCCTGAAATCCCAGCACTTTGGGAGACCGAGGCGGGCAGATCACCTGAGGTTGGGAGACCAGCCTGACCAACATGGAGAAACTCTGTCCCTACTAAAAATACAAAAAATTCGCTGGGCGTGGTGGCACATGCTGTAATTCCAGCTACTCGGGAGGCGGAGGCAGGAGAATCACTTGAACCCAGGAGGCGGAGGTTGCAGTGAGCTGAGATCACGCCACTGTACTCCAGCCTGGGCAACAAGAGTAAAACTCCATCTCAAAAAAAAAAAGAAAGAAAGAAAGAAACATACCCTTTACCTGTGATAATATACAGGATCATACATTATCACAACCAGGATACTGTCACTAACACCGTCAAGATGCAGAATATTTCCACCACCAGCAGGACCCTCCCGTTGCCCTGTTATGGCCACACTTCCCTTCTGCCACCATACCCTTCTTTAACCCCTGCCAACCACTTACATGTGCTCCATTTCTATAATGGCGTGTTGAAAATGTTATTTAAACGAAATCATACAGTATGCAGCCTTTTGAAATAGGTGTTTTCTCCTAGCATAATTATCTGAAAATCCAGATTGTTGTATCAAGAGTTTTTTTTTCTTTTTATTACTGAGTACTAGTTCACAGTGTCGATGTACCACAACTGAACCATTCACCCACTGAAGGACATCTGAGGCGTTTTTTAGCTTTGGGTTGTTAAGAAATAGTTTGCATGAACATTCATTGTACATATTTTCATATGAACATAGGTTTTCATTTCTCTGGGATAAGACAATTGGAAGATCATGTTGTAGTCACATGTTACATTTTTTAAGGTGCGGCCAAACTGCTTTCTAGACCGGTGGTCCCCAACCTTTTTGGCGCCAGGGACCAGTTTTGTGGAAGACAGTTTTTCCATGGATGGTGAAGGAGTGGGAGACGGTTTCGGGATGAAACTGCCCCACCTCACATTATCAGGCATTAGATTCTTATGAGTGTGCAACCTGGATCCCTCGCATACACAGTTCACAGCAGGGTTCGCGCTCCTATGAGATTCTAACGCCCAGGCTGATCTGACAGGAGGCGGAGCTCAGGCAGTAATACAAGCAATAGGGAGTGGCTGTAAATACAGAAGCTTTGCTTATTGCCTGCCACTCCCCTCCTGCTGTGTAACCTAACAGACTGCGGACCAGTAATTTTTACAGATCAGTACTGGTCCGCGGCCTGGAGTTGGGGGCCCCTGTTCTAGACTGTACCATTTCACATTCCCACCAGCAACGTAGGAGTACCAGTTTCTTTGCCTCCTTACCAGCGTTTGGTGGTGTCACTTTTTTAATGTGGCCAAACTGACAAGCGTGAAGTGATATCTTATTGTGGTTTTAATTTGTATTTCCCTGTTGGCGAATTATGTTGAGTCTTTTCATGTGCTTATATGCACATCTTTATATTCTCTTCCCTGAAATGTCTCATCACATCTTTGGCCCATTTTCTTGTTGGACTGTTTGGTTTTTACTTGTTGAGTTCTGAGCGTTTGTTACATATTGTAGCTACTAGTCCTTTGTCGGAGATATGCTTTGCAGATGTTCTCTCCTCTGTAGTGTGTCTTTTCTTCATCTTAACAGGATCTTTCACAAAGAAAAATTTTGATGAAGTCCGATTTAATAATTTTGTCTTTTATGGATCAAGTTTTGGTGTCAAGTCTAAGAACTCTACCTAGTTCTATATTTAAGATTTTTTTCCCTAAGTTTCTTTTCCTAACAGTTTTTAAGTTTCACGTTTAACACTTAAGTCTATGATCCATTTTGAGCTAATTTTTTTTATATAAAGTATAAGGTTTAGGCTAAGGATTTTGTTGTTGTTTGCATATGGATGTCCAGTTGTTACAGCACCATTTGTTTTAAAAAGGCTTCCTTTTGGCTGGCCGCGGTGGCTCACGCCTGTAAATCCCAGCACTTTGGGAAGCCAAGGTGGGCGGATCATGAAGTCAGGAGATGGAGACCATCCTGGCTAACACGGTGAAACCCTGTCTCTACTAAAAATACAAAAAATTAGCTGGGCGTGGCGGTGCACGCCTGTAGTCCCAGCTACTTGGAAGGCTGAGGCAGGAGAACTGCTTGAACTAGGGAGGTGGAGGTTGCAGTGAGCTGAGGTCATGCCACTGCACTCCAGCCTGGGTGACAGAGCAGGACTCCATCTCCAAAAAAAAAAAAAAAAAAAAGCTTCCTCTTTTTTGTTTTGTCAAAAATCAGCTAGGACTACTTATGTAGGCCTATTGCTGGGTTCTCTACTGTGTTCCATTGATCTATTTATCCCTCCACCAATATCACACAGTCTTGATTACTATAGCTATATAGTAAGTCTTGAAAGCAAGTAGACATCCCCCCACTTTATTTTTTTTCAAAATTGTTTCTGCTAATCTAGTTCCTTTGCCTTTATAAATTTTACAATAGCCTTGTTTATACCTACAAAATAT